CTCCCCCAAAGCTCAAGGTCTGGATCCACCACTGCACACCCATGGCAACATGGAGTCTATTTGTTTTATCGTGATGTGGTAAAAAAGCAAAATGTTGTTACTGGTGACATCATCTATGCATCTATCCTCCAATAGATTATAAGCAAGAACCAATCAAAATGCTTGTACAATTCAGCTTATGATATGATTTATTTTCTTTTGAACATTGCAGACTGAGGTGAAGACAGCTTTGTGCAAACTAAACAACACTGTTCTTGGTGAACTAGGCAGGGAATTACAAACTCAGATTAAAGTGCCAAACATCACTGACCTTCAGGTATTGCAAACCAAAACATTCTTTTCAACAACTGTTACTGACTGTGCTAAATAAATAATTCCAGTACCACACAAGGTACTGTGTACATGTAAAAGATGCTCAGGGATAAGTTGCTGGCCGAATTAGGATGCAATTTAAAGATTAGCAAAATGAGACTGTAGTGTTTGAAGCCACCGTCAAGATTGGGACCCAGTACCTGGTAAAATTTCTGGTCTGTTGTAGTACCCCAGAGACTTTCTGGGACTTCCTACTCCCAGTATTGATTAACATGTAACTTACCCCGATAATATCTATATGTTATCGGGCGAACAGGTGAAGGGAATATTCAAACTTGTTGGGTAGAAGTTGTTATCCAATACCAAACTCTTGGAACTAATTTACAAGGAAATGTGTAGCAGCTAGAGGAGAGAATGAACAATCAGATATCTGCAAGGAGGGCTATTACTCCTATTTGAAGTAAATATTCCATTTGAATTGGTGTTTTTGTTTCTTTCATCAGAGTTACCAAGCAAATATAACAAATTTGCTGAATTCCTTGACAAACGATTACCAAAATATTGCTGAAGATGTAAGTATATAATTGATTCATGGTCTTAATTTATTGCATCAATCTGATTCAAACCTTCTTGCTCACTGACTTGAGCTTATTGTTATTGGTATTGGTAACACTACAATACTCCAAGTAATTCCGTATATTCATATGATTCCAATCCATTTCATACTAACATTGCTGCTCAAAAGTAAGTTGACAGTCCCTCAAAACTTGATCCCTGGCTTTGATTCTCAAAGCATCTCAGGATCAAGGCTCATTGTTGAACCCCCAAAGTCATCTGTTGTTATTCTGTTGTTTGAGGATTTATGTGAGGATTTACAACAACCCAGAATCCAAATATAGACATTTGAACAAACTGTTGCTATACTTGGATGACAAATGTTGAGCATCTTTCATTACTTGACACCTGAGTACAGCATCAGCATCTTTCTTAAAACACTTAAAATTAACATTGCTGTTATCCCAGTTACATTCAACACTCTAACCATTTATAATAAAATATTTACCCAGTATTAGTTGTTTTGTCATTTGAATTCACAAACATCAAGGTATTATTTAATTAGTTATTAAGTAGTGTTGTTATTTCACGAAGGTGACACAATTTAAAACTATGAAACAAGTAGCCTCCCATGTATATATACCCTACCCCCACATTTATATCCAGGGCTCGACACTAATTTTTCAACTGACTAGCCAAGTGGCTGGTGACATCTTAGATGTTTTTAGATGTTACCTCAATTTCAGTCTGTTTACTAGCCAAACTGCCTAGTGGAAATTGAAAACCACTTTCCAAAACTGAATTTCTACTAGTATGTGGCTGGTTGGCTACCTTTAGTGTCGAGCCCTATATAGTTAATATATATATATGTGTGTGTGTGTGTGTATATGAAAAGATGTAATATATCATGTAGATATAATAATCAAATATAAGTTAGTAATTTATGAAATATAAAAATATCATAGATGCAATGTAAAAGTCCTGATTGATTACAATAAACAATAAACATTGTGTAAATTATGAAACTTTCAACTCTAAAATGATACTTACTGAGTTACTGAGGTTAAGACTTGTAATTTTTAATATCAGAAGAACTTAATAAGTTCTTCTGATTTTCTAAATTACATCTCTTAAGCTCGTTAACTCAGTTAGCAAAGGGCAAATTAAGAGACAGTCTTTGTGGGGAACTGAATATACATTAATGTTCTTTAAATTGTTTACCATTTTTAAAATGTATTTCTAGGTTCAAGCCTTGGAGTCCTTCTCTCAGGTCTCTAGGGACTATTTTTATCTTATGCAAGAATTAAATGATAGAGACAATGGTGGTGGTTTCCGTGAAACACTTTGTGGTAATGGCCGCCCTCTACCAGAGAATGATGGTACTGGCAGTGGCAATGGATCGAATGGAGGTCAGGGCTGGCAACAAGCATCTCTTGGATTGTTGGCTGCTGCATGTGGCCAAGATTTGCCAAATGGAACTTTTGATGGTGTCCCGCCTGGCACGAATCCCATCGACTATTATTTGAATATGACGCAAAATATGAATTTGGGAAGAAATGATGATGAAGAAAATGCAAGAAGGAAAGCTGATGAAAAATCGTGCTCAAATCTTACCTCTGTGTATGACAAGTACAACGTGACAAGGGACAAGGGTGAGTTACTGCTTTTCCGTTATTGTTATTCTTGGCATGGTGTTAAAGTTAACACTGAAACAGGGCTTGGCTAAAGCTCGAGTCTCGTGTAATATGAAAATATTTGCAGATGTGTGAGTGGCCCGCCCCCGAGTATTTAAAGAGAAATTGCATGTTAAGTGTTATGCCCTTAGCTATTGTTTTGCGTGCGAGACTCGTTTCTTGGATTTTGCATATCGATATCCTCGAAAAGTTCTTCAAGCGTCTCGATCCTTGATTTTCGATCCTCAATTCTAAATCCTCAGTCCTCGATTCTCGATTCTCGATTTCTGATTCCCGATTCCGGATTCTCGATTCCCGATTCTCGATCCTTAGTTCTTTATCTTCGATTCTTGATAGCTTTGAGGATTGAGTTCGAGTCAAGCCTGTCGACTTACTTTTGAGATGTAATGTATATTAATACAATGTTGTATGTGTTACTAGACTTGATGATGTCATTTTCTCTTTCTCTTAGATGAAGATTGACGTTAGTGTTGTGTAACAAGATGATAACACTTCTTCCTCTTCCCATTTTATATTTGTTTAATATATTAATTACCGTCTATATATGACTGTTTTCTTTGTTTTTTACACTTTCATTTCAGACTCGTGTTCAGTCATTGATCCAAAATGGAGAGTTGACTGTGGCTGGCCAGGGATCTCAGAGGGACAGTGCAGACAAAGGGGTTGCTGTTTTGATGCAACGATACCTAAAACTCGCTTCTGTTTCTACAAAGCCGGTATGTCTTATTTATTTATAACTAAAACCAAAGAAATAACAGCCAATCAGAAGAAAGAAAAATCCCCTTAAGAGTCAGTGAGAACTCAAAGTGAAACAGGCCATCTGCCTAAAGTGCGGGAAAACGCGGGTAACCAACACATGATTGGTTTTAAGTTTTGAATCTAATTGGTTGAGAGAGTGGCACGAGTTTTCTGGACCAATCAGACTGAAGTCAAGCAGTTTCCATGCAATCTTGGATTATTTTCGACACCCAATTGACAATTTCTCTATTTATTTCTCAATGTATTTAGTTTTTGTTAATTTTCCAGGATACTCTTAAAGTTTTGTAAATGAGAACTAATAAGAATTGTGAAAGCTACTTAAAACTAGTTTTAATCAGTGTTTCAGTCAAAGCTGATCTCGTTTGCAGAGGATGCGGGATGCAACTGTTATTTGAACCAAATTGTGCGCAGAGTGGGCGGAGTAACTGGAAATGCAGGTCAAGGGGACAAAGACTCTGGATTTGTTCAACTCAGCTCACTGTTCCTAAAGGGAAAGATCCTGTACACCCCTGATAACAATGTGACCCGTTATATCATTCAACAGGTGAGTTTTTAATGTAGTCCTGTAAATATGAAGTATGCCTTGAAACCTTTCCTTAATGGATCAATATCGGTCAGTGGTAATAGTTAGAAGCTGTGTAAAAAGGCATTTTTGACTCTAATAGCGATATTTTCTGCGACAGCTAGTCAGAGCAATTACTGTTGGCGAACCGTGCGTTGTAGGTTTTCGTGTGCGGTGGACTACACTACTGTAAGAATTCTTACCTGTCTTTTTTTCCTACTTATTGTGTACAGGTCAAGAATGAGCTGTCTGATATCACTCGTATAAGAGACTTTGCCTACTGGTGGGTGAATAACTCGGACTATATCCATGAGAGTGTTTTGAATTACACTAACCTGCTCAAGAGACCACTGGACTCGGTATGCAAAATTTGTTTGAAAATTATTGGTTATGAACCCATTCCTTTCTTAGCTGGCTTTATTGTCTTCTTCTGATAAGTAATCCGTTTGAGAGCAATTTTCAAGTGAGTGTCAACAGTAACACGGTATTGCCTTTCTTTTGCTTTACTTCGGTCTGTGATTGTTCTAGAAAACTCGTACCATCCTATCAACCAATCAGATTTAAATCTAGAAGCAGCTGCCGCTTGGTCAGTCGCGTTTTCCCGCCATGTTCTTTCCCGCGTCACAAGCAGTCGGTTTGTTTCTGCTTTGAGTTCTCATTGGCTACCAGCAAGATTCTCATTGCAGTCATTCGTTTGAGCAACAATTGTGGCTGTTAACTAATAGTTAATCATAATAGCTAAAAATAATAGTTCTTTTGGTTTAATCAACCGAGTTGATAATGTAAATTAGTCACCATGAAGAGTTTAAAAGCTAACGTTTCGAGCGTTAGCCCTTCGTCAGAGCGAATCTACGAAGAAATCGCTTTGACAAAATGCTTACGCTGTAAATGTCAGCTTTGAAACTCTTTACGGTGACCAATTTACATCTCAGTTGGTTAAACCAAATTACCTTGTTACCCCCACTGACGCAGCACCACGGTTTGTTTGGAAAGTTACCCCCTCTATTCAACTGATATTTCTATTCTGTAAGTTTCTTATTATTTATATTTATGATTGGATGGTGGATTTTTCTTCTTTTTTTAGAGGATCTGCGAACTATCGAATGTCCTGAGACCTGGAGCAAACCCGGACTGGACTGAAGTGTCTTTGAACTTGTTAAATTCTTCTGCTCGTCGAAATATCACAATAATACCGGCATCGTTTAATGTCACTACTGTACTGAATAACCTGGATCAGTTGTTTGGAACAATCTTGAGGATATTTCAATGCACATCACATGAATATTTTGAAGGCTACAAGGATGAAGATTCCTTGGTCAAACGCGCCATTAACACCTCGAAGGTACCAGCTATTGCAAGTAAGTTCGCCCCTTTCTTTTAGGGTATTGCCTTTTTCTTGAATAATAATAATAATAATAATAATGATAATAATCTTTATTTAGCAATAATTTCCATAAATAATAATAAAAATAATGATAATAGTAATAAGGTTTTTATGAGCGCATTTAAGAATCTCAATGCACTTACATAGCATAATAAAAAATGAAATTTAACAGTGATGCTAACAGTCAGTAGTACCAACACTGACAAAAATGAAGTTAAATGGGATAAAAATCTATGTAATGTTTCACAATACTAAGAATAAAATTTCCGGAATAGGAATGTTTTAAGGGCAGATATGAAATACGAAAGTTACGACTGAGTTTTTGTGCTCGTTAGTTTAGTACAAACTCAGCTGTGACCAAAGCAGAAAAACATTCATTGCATTATTCGCTCCTTTGCTTAAACCTTTGATCCCTAACAGTGACCAGCATCTAAATTTTCTTTAGAATATCACCCCTGAATCAAACATTAAGGTCAGGAGAACAAAGGAAATGATCACAAATTCTCCTTGTCAGTACCTCAGGAATTGTATAAAGAATAGTATGGAGAATATGCATACTGATGTTAGGGTGTAAAGGGCTGCATGGAAGGTGGACGCCTTCCATGAAAGAAAGACGTTATCTCTTGTTTGCCATATTTTTTATTTCTATCGCATCTCATTTCATTCCATGTCACTTCACAAAAATTGCTTCAGTGAACACTAGCAGGGGTTTCAAAAAATGTTTCTACAAGTGGCTGCCGATAGTGTTGTTGGTGGTTGTGCTGTGTAAGGGCTGGAAGGCAGAACCCAAATACGAGAGCCTGCTCACAGATTAAAGAGACGGTGATAAGAGGTCAAACAGTCAGCAGTAGACTACTGGAAACTGGCTTTTATTGAAACCCCTGCTCTGGTAAACTGAACCAATCAAGAAGTCGTAATGTTTTCATTGAGAACGTCTAAGGTTTTTTTGTTTTGTATAAATAGGCTTAGTGTTTGAAGATTCAACTGGTGACCTGGATAACGTTCCAAAGTTTATCAAATATAAGATTCGACAGGACGTGGATTACACCCCAGCTACGAGCAGAGTACGCCGTTGGTAAGGCCAGGGATTTGTTCTGTTCCGTTGGTCTTTTTTTTTTAACTGCTTAAGGAAGTTATTCACCTTTTGAGTGGCAACCCGTTCTCGTCATCGTCGTTCTTAATCCTTGAACTCCAAGGCCGGGTCATTTAAACAAAGTTTAGCCGTTGTTTAACAAAACGGCGTACAAAGCAATCCTCTTTTATCTGATCAACTAAGGGGAAATTAAAAATACTCCTTTATCACTCGATGTATTGGGAACTGGGATAAGTTTCAGTGGTGTGGACCACTTTTCTTCACACGAAAAAATTATTTCATTTTTTTTTATTCTCAGGTATTGGCGACCAGGCCCTCAAGACAGCTTCTTCAGGCAGAGGTACTTCAACTTTGGGTTTTTGTACCTACAAGACTTGATTGATCGTGCCTTGATGAACATGTTGCTGAATGAAACTATTGAGGAACCGGGAGTGTACATGCAGGAGTTTCCTTATCCATGCTACGTCAAAGACAAGTAAGTATACTGCAACATACAGCTGGTAGTAGATTGTCTGGGGCGTTTCTCGTTTGATTGTCATAGAACCCTAGGGAAGTGTCATATCGAGGTAAAAGCGTTAAAAAATTAAAGACGTGACCTTTTGGTTGGAACGGACTGGGTCTGTGCATTTTGTGCTATGTCGAACTCTGTTTTTATTGCTGTTTCAGGTTTGTATTCTACATCGGTGGTACTATGCCGTTGTTCATGACCCTGGCGTGGATATTTAGTGTGGCAATGATCATCAGAGGTGTGGTTCACGAGAAGGAACGGCGACTTAAAGAAGTCATGAAGGTAGGACGCTTGAACTATCATTGAGTAGATATTTTATTTCCTGTGATTTCTCGTGGATTCTTGGGTCACTGGAAAAATTGTGCTCTTGTTGGCGTTTGGTCTTTCACTGAGAATGTCATTAATTTCGAAGAAAATTTGGTCATCGGAAAGTCATATTTTCAGCGATTAGCATGTTTCCTTTGCAAGGCGCTGTGGCCTTACGGGTGGAGCATTGGACTGTGGATGGAAAGGTCTGGGTTAGAGCCGTCGCGAAAATCTTAGTATCGTGTTTTTGAGCGAGACATTTTACCCTCATAGAGCCGCCCTCTGTACAGAGCCTTTCTCCACTCACAGCCCCTCAATTAGGCTATCTCCTTCACTGAGCCCCTCTCCCCCTGGAGCCTTAAAGAGTACAGGCAAATTGGTTTCGGAACCTTAAAAAAATTAAATCGGGGTTGCGGGGGAGGGCGGGGGGGAACTTGCTGTGGATCAGCATACCTTATTAGGGAAGTGTTACTACTCCCTAATTATCGAGGTATTTCCATTTGCCGACTTTTGCATTCTTCTTGACGACTATTACAAGGCTGTGGTCTAGCAGCGCCCGGTGGCCCCTGGTGCCTTACTTTTGCTCTTGGGCGACTCGGAAATTTTAGTTTTTTCGTACAAAGTATATGCTGGGCACTCTGGATTTCACAGTTTCAGAGCACTGGGCTCCATTCAATCTTCCTTAGAGCACAGCCTTGCTATTATATTTCGTTTAACGTCAAGTCTTGTTTCTGTTTTGTAGGTGATGGGTCTTGGTAATGGTGTGCACTGGGTGGCCTGGTTCATCAACAGTTCAATTCTTATGGTCATCACTATCACCCTTCTTGTTGCTGTCCTGAAAGGCGGCAAGATCTTATGGCACAGTAACCCTGCGGTTATCTTCTTGTTCTTGTTCGTGTTCATGATTGCCACCATCATGATGTGTTTCTTGATCTCGGTGTTCTTCGCCCGAGCAAACCTGGCCGCGGCTTGTGGAGGAATCATTTTCTTTGTCACCTATTTACCTTATGTGGTGGTCCGATGGTTTGAGCAGTATATGACTACGGGACAGAAAGCTATCGCGGTAAGTTTGATGTATAAATTTTAGAATATTTAAGTTGCTACACGCGCTCTCATTGGTCGATTCTTGTGTTTAGAAAAGAGGTTGTGGATGAGGTTGTGACGTCACGATTCATTGTCAAATTGTGTTTTAGAAATATTTTACAAAAGCAGAAGAGGAATTTTTCCATGTTTACACAGCCCTTCCTCAACATTCGTGGGGTTGGGAAAATTCTCAAAAATTTATGAATACCCTAGACTGCCTCTCGGGTCTGCATAACTTAATTAAAATCTACCACACTTGTAATAAATGGAGAGCTAATTTCTTTACAACGTTTTTTATTTATGTCCCACAGAGTTTACTATCCACGACATCATTTGGTGTCTGCTGCAATTACTTGGCGCGGTATGAAGAGCAGGGGGTTGGTGCTCAGTGGTCAAACTTCTTCTCCAGTCCTGTGTCAGGTGATGGTTTCAGTCTGGGTTATGCTATATGTATGATGATGATTGATGCTGTCATTTATGGCATCCTCACGTGGTACATTGAAGCTGTATTACCAGGTGAGTGGTGTTGTCTTAAGACCAAGATTTTTTAAGTAGCTAATTGTCTCCAGAAAAAAAAAAAAAAACAACCAAAACAACCAGATTAGTTCTGACGTTTTCAGGATCACAGACAATTGTCCTTATAGCAGTTTTCAATTAAGTGTCAAAAGTAATGCGGGATTGCCTTGGTTTTATGCAGCTTCGCTTCGTGATTGGTCCAGAATACTTGCACCACTCTCTCAGCCAATCAGATACAAAGTTAAACCCAATCTCGACTTGGACGCCCTCGTTTTCCCGCACTTAAGGCAATTTTTGTGGTTTTTAGTTTGATTCTGATTGGCTCTTTAGGGTATTGTTCTTTCTTCTGATTGGCCGCTTGATTCGTTTTGGTTTTGCTTTTATGATACTTAATCTTGAATCAGGCTAAAAGAGAAGGAAATCTTAAAATAATACTTTGAAAGGCTTCACAGATTTCAAAGAGGAAGGAGTAGACCTTTAAATTTGAGTTAAACACGGATGGCAGATAAAATCTTGTAAAATCTATTTGAGAGGCACAAAACGCCTCTTTTTTTCTTTGAATTATAAAGCGAGCTGTTTATTATCAGCAACTATATCGTGTACTAAATGACTACATTTCTGTTTTTGTCCCCTTTACTTATGTTTAGGTTTCAAACGGTTGTACTTGTTTAGGCAGACAGTGTGATATGTAAATCTCAGGTTTGCAGGGCTGCGGTCTAGCAGCGCCTGGTGGCCCCTGGCGCCTTACTTTTGCTCTTGGGCGACTCGGGAATCTTAGTTTTTTCTTAAAAAGCATATGCTGGGCACCCCGGATTTCACAGTTTCAGAGGACTGGGCTCCCTTCAATTTTTCCTAGAGCACAGCCTTGGGTCTGGGGCTCACCAAATTCTCCCTACGCATTTACCAGGAAATGTACCGTCGCTCCAAGGGAGAATCACTAAACAGATCTGGAGAGTTTAAATGTTAGGTAATAATTCCACTTTGTCCTTTCCACAGGTCAGTATGGTATTCCGCGACCCTGGTACTTCCCATTCCAGAAGTCGTATTGGTTTGAAGTTGCTAACAAAAAGGTTGTGGAGGTTGACGCATCAGGTACAGAGCAGAGAGCCAGCCACTCTCACGGAAGAGGAGCTGTTTCCTACAGAAGCAATGTAAGTCCATGACGACTTTAAGAATGGGGGGCAGGGAAGGGAAAAAGGGAAGTAAAAAGGGTAGAAGGAATCAGGAGGGTTGGATGGGTAGAAGGAAGAAGGAAGAGATGGATATAGGTTGGAAGAATGGAGGGAGCGAGTGATGTAGGGAGGAAGGGGCAAGAGTGGAAGGAATGAGGGAGTGATGCAAAGACATCAACAAAGATGGCAGGGGTGGATCAAGAGGAAGGAAGGAAGGAGGGGAATAGAGATAAGGAGAAAGAGGGGAAAGGCTGAGAAAGTAAGTACAGCGTAAGGGTGAGTGAAAGGAGGCAGGGAGGGAAGTGTGGGGAAAAGGGTGAAGTTGGATTGGTGGAAGGAAGAAGGGAGGAAGAGATGGAAGTAGGGAGGAAGAAGGGAGAGGGTGTGGAAGGGAGGAAAGAGCAAGAGTGAGAAGAAACAAGGGAGGGACGAGGGGGCGGAGAAAGGAGCCGATGTTGGTGGGAGGAAGGAAGGAAGGGAAGGGAAAGAGAGGAATGGTGGTGAGAAGGAAGGAAGGCAGGGAAAACTAGACAAAGGAGGAAGAAGGAAAAATAGTTACTGTTAGTATTTACAGGAGATTATTTGCACAAGTATTTACGTTAGGTTTCGTAGCTGTTTACATGTGGGAAATCATCTTGAAGGGTGCGTAGCTGCCAGCGTTTGCAAAATCCTACCCACTAATTTTTAAGCTTTTCCCTTTTTTCTCAGACTGGAGGAATGGATGAAGTTGCCTTCCAAGACGAAGACAGGTTTTGTGTGACAGAAAAAGAACCTACCCAGCTTCCCTTAGGATGTTCAATAAGGAACTTGGTTAAGGTAAGGAAGACTTTGTCCTCCTCCCTGGTAAAGAAATTCTATCACTGGGATCTGCGGTAGGGTGCGACACGCCAGTGTGTTTCCAAGGGAGATAAGTGTATTTGGGTAGAGTATGCGTCTTGGTGTGTGCTTTTGTTTTATCTTTTCTAAACTTGGTTGTGGTTTTCTAAGTGAAACTATGGTTAAAATGTTGTCCTCACATTTTGGGTGTTCTTCGCAGCAAAAACAAATTGTAAACAGAATCTCTCACTGTTTTGCGCATTTGCCATTGTTGTCAGTGTTAACTGGATTTCTTATAGCGCGATTTACTCTTTCACTGAGCTTTAAATTTATTTGTTTTTTTTTTTTTTATGTGTTAACCTTGAAGTAAATGTAACGGTCAGAAGAATATAGGAAATGTTCGTCAATTTAAGAAGCTCTTGATTAACACACAGATCTCCTTGTCAATACTATAGGAAATGTACAGAGAACCATATGGAGAATATGAATGCTACAGTAAGGGTGTAAAGAGTGAAACCAGGACGTGTTTGACTTTGCTTATCCTAGAAGAGGAAAGGACGCTTGTTTAATATGAAGCTAGTGTAGGCCTTACTAGCCAACGAGTTCTCTGACCAACAGTTATGAAGAAATTGGCCTTGGAGCTACTTTGTTGTTGTTTTTAGTAAACGGGGATGCATGTAAATGTAAGTACCTCTCCTAATGGGTCTTTTTCTTCTTTTGGTCAGATCTACAAAGATGGCAATAAACTTGCGGTAGACGGATTAAGCCTCAACTTGTACCAAGGACAAATTACGTCATTCCTTGGCCATAATGGCGCTGGAAAAACTACAACAATGTCTGTATTGACCGGTTTGTTCCCCCCAACATCGGGCACTGCCATCGTTAACGGGTATGACATCCGAAAAGATATCGATTTGGTTCGAAAAAGCCTCGGAATCTGCCCGCAATACAACGTTTTGTTTGATAATCTGACTGTGTCTGAACATCTGTGGTTCTATGCGTCACTGAAGGGAATGCCAAAGGAAGATATTCCGGCTGAAGTTGACAGGTAATTGATAACTCTAGCTTGCGGTTGTTATCATAGTTATGAGTTTTTTCGCTGGTGCTGTTCTAGCAGAGATTACAGACACGTCGATAGCAACACTGACAACGTTTTGAATATTATTAGTAACTCCACGACAACAACGTGAACAGCAACAGCAAAACGATGGCGACCATTTCAGGGACGTGAAACATTAAAGTCAAGACTAAATCATTATCAGCAAGAGATGCAATTATAACAATACTGCAACAATACTGCAACAATACTGCAACAATACTGCAACAATACTGCAACAATACTGCAACAATACTGCAACAATACTGCAACAATACTTAGAACGATCGATGAACCATTTGAGAAAATAAAAGCATTTCGAAAAGGTCGAATTAGCCTTCGGTACCACCTTAAGAGTAATCGTTCTTGGACTTTTTGCAGTGTTTTCGAGCGGATTGTTATGTTCTCTGTTGTTACTCGTCAAGTTTTGTTGTAATCAGTAAAATAATCTTTCCTTTTATTTCGTTAGATTCCTAAAGGACGTGGGCTTGGAGAACAAGAGACACGAATTATCTTCATGTCTTTCTGGTGGAATGAAACGAAAGCTCTCTGTGGCCATGGCCTTTGTAGCAGGCTCCAAAGTCGTCATCCTGGATGAGCCCACGGCTGGTGTGGACCCATATGCAAGGCGAGGAATCTGGGACTTGCTTCTTTACTACAAAACAGGTACTGTGGGTGTGACCGCTAGAATGCATTTTACACCAAAATCTTAGAATCTCAGACAGAATAGACAATCGTTACTAAGATTTTCCTAAACAGGATATTCGTTTTCGCTTTAGGCCGTACTGTGCTTCTCTCTACTCATCATATGGACGAAGCAGACATTTTGGGAGACAGAATCGCCATTATCTCACAAGGAAAGCTTCATTGCTGTGGCTCCTCTTTGTTCCTCAAGGGACACTATGGCAACGGGTACTACATGACACTCACTAAGAAGGCACCAGAGGAGAGGCCAGGCACGGCAAGGACCCTAAAGGACGTGACATTGATGCAGTATGCTCCTTCAACAGGGAGCTCTCTTGATGAAGGTAAAATGAGATCAAAGGTCATTGATTGACTGTCGAAAGGCCAGAACTAAATTAATCACAACAGCCATTCTGAACAAAGGAAAGTATTACAAGAAGCCAGTGGAAACTGGAATAACATCGAGCAAATTGTCGAAAGCGCGGGAAAACGCGAGTGGGCAAGGTGCGTTTCCTTTCATTTTGTAATCTGATTGGTTGGTCGAGTGGCCCGAGTTTACTGGACTAATCACAGAGCGAAGTAAAGCAAAACGACAACAATCCAGGGTTACTTTCGAAACGCAGTTTAAATTTGAATGAAAAATATAGGCGAATATCCGTAGACAAACAGTGACGTAGCTTCCTTAAGTAAAGGATGATTATCGTATTGTAAAACAGGGTGTCAAAGTTATTTGTCATGAGATGAATTGAATAGATACGTTTGGCTATAGGTGTCCGTCTAGAAGTGTATTGCATTTTGTCCTTGTTAGGTGTTGGTATGGACTCATTAGACGCTTCAGAGCAAGGGAGCCTCAATTCCGTGCCTGTGAACTCCTCCTCAGACCCTTCTCTGGATGTTACAGAAGTGTTCTGCAAGGAGCCAGCGGTAACTTCCTTCGTCAAGACCTATATCCCCACGGCTCAACTGGTCGAGAACATTGGGTCTGAGCTAACATACGTTCTTCCGACTGAGTTAGCTGGGGAAGGCCGCTTCCAGGATCTGTTTGAAGAGCTGGATAAAAACTTGGATCAACTTCACATCGGTAGTTATGGCGTGTCAGATACCACTCTTGAAGAGGTAACTTTGTTGTGGTTTTGTTGACGTTGACTCCCAAGATTTGTGTTGCAATTCTCGTAACGGGTCTCGTATATTCCCTTGTAAATGTGTTAGAGAATTCGGTGTTAAATCAAGCCAACACTGTCTGATCAATGTATGAAGTGGTCTATTCTTGTCACCAGTTTGCGGAATATGTGAAGCTCTAAGAAGTTACAGTTTGATCCGCTCTGGGAGCGACTTGGTTAGTCTATCTAACAAGTCTATCATTGAGAAGAAAATTGTTAACCATCGAGACCCCGAGTGACCAACATCTAATTTCTCCCCCACAGTAATACTGCTGAGTCATTTATTAAGATCATGAAAAGAAAGGAAATTATCGCCGAACTAAGGAGCTTTGATTGTTAAATAAATTCTCATTGTCAGTACCAAAGGAAATGTGTGGAGAACAGTGTACAGAATATGCATGTTGATGTTAGGGAGTAAGGTGTTAAACAACCTAACATTGAACTTTTATTTCAAAGGTATGAACAACATTTTTTTCTAGCTGATATTTTGGCGGCGGAGTGACAGGGGCATAAACATTTTATTTTGGAGACGCGAAGCTCACTAGTCTCCTCCTTTTTTTTTTATTTTTTTATTCAGGTGTTCTTGAAAGTAGCCGAAGAAGCCAACGCCGAAGAAGAAGGTGAGACCACAAATGTGTTTTTGCCTCTCAAACCTCGAACTTGTTGGTATTATGTTGATACTCCAACGATACAGCGCATGCGTAATGGTATATATTTATGATAACGATGTTGAAAACACCAAAAACACTGGGGACCGTTTGACAATAGCAGCGAATCATGTTTCTTCACAGTATATCTTTCCTACATCACATAATCAGTCTTTAAATACGAACAGCCTACCCCTTATTCATTCTCTTAAGATAACTTTTATTTCGTTTGATTTAAACCACAACTTTTTTTTTTACAATTTTTGTTTTTCCATGATCACCAGACATGCTTGCTGCCGAGATGCCCAAACGCCGGCCCAGTTTCCGCTCACAGCTGAGTCGCAGTTCAAGAATAAGCGACAGTTTTACTGACAGAGAACAGCTATTGGCTAACGATAGTCAAGATTTAAATGGTGAGACTTGAAACCAACAAGTAACTAGACGATACTATTATCCAGTCACTCTTAGCGTTTTTCGGTCGAGAAAAGATTGGAGTCGAGTGGAAAAGGGCAGACGGAGTCAAAAATAACCTCGTTCACGGGGTTTCTTTCCTTCTCTACCGAGGGAGATTGGGAAGGAGAGAAGCCACGAAAGCGAAGTTACTCTATGTTTGTGGTACTTCAGTGGTTTTGATTTTTGTCACAAAAACTGCTTTGATTTTAGTCAAAGTTCGATCATTCTATTTTAGCTGTTTTTTTTTTTTTCCATAGCCATTTAACATGAATTAAGATCAGGGTTGGAGTTTTAAACTAGAGAATATTTTATTTCACTTGCACGTTTTCTTCACCCTTTACAGCTAAAATCAGTATGCAAGTTCTCCATTCTGTTCTCTATACATTACCTATGCTACTCACAGGGAGAATTTCTCTAACAATCAAGAGGTTTTTACGTTCACAATCATTTCCATTAATTGTAAGGAGAAATTGGATGCCAGTCACTCTGGGCGGGGGGAAGTATGGGAAAAGTTTGGAAAAGTTCTCTTACGTAACTGATTTTGCTAAGACACAGCTAGTGCCCTCTTTCCAAACGTTTTGCGTCAATAATTGTTTTTAGGGGGCTGGAACATTTTGACAACTTCAGAGCTTGCAAAACGGTGTTTAACTTACTTGAAGAAGTTAACCACTTTAAAAAGAGGCGTCAAAATAATTAATTGGAGGATTGGATCGACAGAACTGGAAGAAATCAAAGCGAATCACATTTGAGTCAACCCTATAACTCCCGGAAAGATCAACATGTATCGTCACCTTACGTTACCAGTGCATTATCCAACAAACAGGTCATGAGAATCGGTACACTGATCAGTCAGGTTGTGTCATAGTGATACTGATTTAATACCAAATTCTCCCAATGTATCTGCAAGGAATCGCATGGCAGTTAGTTTGGGGAATTACGGATCGGATTGAAGCACGCTTAATTTGATTGATTTTGTTTTAGACCGGGACGACACCACCTCTGTTTTGGATGCCCAAGATGGAGTTTATGAAGGAGAAAAGAGGCTGACAGGTGCCAAGCTACTGAAAGGACAATTCTGGGCTCTGCTGGTAAAACGATTCCATCATACCAGAAGAAATCGGAAAGGATTCTTTTCTCAGGTAGAACCATTATTGATGAAAAGCAACAGTTATGAAAGTCGAAAGATTTCTTTGTCAGATAGCTTGTCGATCGAGTGTCGTAAAACTAAAACCAATAGATTTCAACAACCAATCAGAGCAAAGGAAAAATATTTGGGGGAGCCAACGAGAACTCGTCTAGGAGCGCGGGAAAACATGAGTGGCCAAGTCGTGGTTGGTTTTATTCTTTAATCTTATTCGTCAAGAGGGTGGTGCGAATTTCTTAACCAATCACAGAGTACAATCAATCAAGGCTAATGCAATCACGGAATACTTGGACACTCGACTAAAAAACGCTCTGTGTGGGTTTATTACTCAACTTTACACGTGAACTCCAGTCTTATAGCTGAGTCTTTCCTTTGTTCTTGCAGATTCTACTGCCGGCCTTCTTTGTCTGTTTGGCTATGCTCGTGTCGCAGATCAGACCAGTTTCAGAGATGCCAGCACTTGAACTTAACACCAACATGTTCCTAGACCTCGAGCCACATGAGCATTACTTGGCGTTTGCTTTGGATGATAATGGAAAATCGGCTTTAACACAGCGCATGATGGATATGCTGGTGGAATATCCGGGAGTTGGTGAGTGAAATAATCGACCTCCGGTCCCTGTTGCAGTAGTGTGCGGGGGCACTATGCTTCAGCCAATCAGGTGACGGGATTTTGTAGCGTCTTTAACATTACCCTTCACTGCTCTAGGAACGTCCTGTTTGGAAAATTCCTGTAAAAGAAAACCAATCAAGTTCAGTCCTGCTCCTAAAGAAAATGCCAGTACTTTACAATGTGACTGTCACTCAACTGGAACAGCAAAATGTCCCGCGGGTGCTGGTGGCCCTAGACCTTCTCAGTGGCACTCGTTTACCGGTGACAAGCTACAGAACATGACTGGCCGCAATATGACAGACTATCTGCTCAAGACTTATCACAATTTTATTCGAAAGAGGTAGGGATTCTGTAGTGTTTTATGTTAGTAGGGTGCAACCAAATTTTGGGGGTCCTGTGCTGGCAGCAGTGATCTTTTTCTTCGTTCGTTTAGACTTTTGAGGCAAACTATAAGGTCGAAGCGAGATCGCGATTGGTGCTTTGTAAACTGCGATAGTAATATAGAGGTTTCAATAACTTTTTTCATAAGCTGCTGCGCCCGAAAAGGGCCAAGCCAATCACCACTCAGTCACTAGCGTTTTCCGCGTTTCAGCTGGACAAGAGGTTTGCTTGTTCCTGGTTTGAGGTCTGTATTTATAGATTCGTACAGTGTACAGGCGAGAGAACAATAGGAGACGTAGTCCCCCACTAAGTTCATCCGCCTAAACCAACCCCAACCCACCCATCCCACCCCAGGGGAGGATATCCATCTCCTACCCCTAACCCTGCAGGAGACGGGACCTCCATTTATTCGTCCCTATCCGAGAAGACTAGAATATCTAACCATTTCTGGATGGTATAGAAAGGTAGCTTATTCTTTTCAGTTATTCTAAAACCTTGAGTGTTGGTCCGGCTGGGGCTCGAACCCTCGCCCTCCCGCACAACAGTCCAGCGCTCTATCCATTGAGCTAACTGGGAGGCGGTTTGGCTCCTCGTGATTTTATCTTAGCTCTGATTTGCTTCTTGTGATTTTGCGGCCTTAGTTCTTATTGGCCATCGTGCTTGCTTCTGTTAGGAGATCTTATACGCGGCGGTAGACCCGCTGGTAACCAGCTTTTATTGATACCTCTGGTACTAAATTTTACGTCCTGATTTAATATCTGGTCATTTTCCTGTTGTGTTCTAGATATGGAGCTGTAACTCTCGGAGATAACTTCAGAAATCTACCAGCCTCTTTCTCTCAGTCAAACGTATCGTACCTCAGGCGTATTTTTAAGCGGCACAATGCAAAGGTAAATCTGTAATTGAAGTGTTTATTATTTCTCTCACTCAACCTATTACCACGTTTGACTATCTTACGACCGTTGCACGACGTATTGACATTAGTGTCGATTTGCTACAACGAGGTTTATGTCCAGCAGGAAACTTAACTGTAGGATATAATGCTGTAACACTTGTCACAATGTGTCCTTTTTATTTTGTAATAATTTTGGTGTTTGATGTACACCGGTTAGCTCTTACCAGTCGCTTTTTTTCTTTGTTGTTACAGGCCTGGTACAATACTAAGGGTTATCACGCTGCTCCGACATTCCTAAATGTACTGAACAATGTGATCCTTAGAGGCAAGGCTCGCGAGAAAGGACTGAATGCATCACTATTTGGTACGTTAATGAAAGTGAACCATTGCGTTACTTTTAATGTCACACGTAACTGGTGTTACTTAGAGCGGCGCTTTTTGATTGAGCGTCTAATATTTCAAAACCACTGTAACCGCGTCAGCCAATCAGAACAGAGGCAAACACTACAGGGAGCCAATGAGAACTAAGAGTGGATGCGTGCGAAAGGCCTTAAGCGCGGGAAAACGTGTATCTTACGGGTGATTGGCTCACGTTTTATTTTTTTATTGGATTGGCCAAGGGGAAGATGGGAGGTTTTCAAAGCTTTTTGAAAAATTTAAGCTGCAAACCAAATTGATTGCAATACCAGATTACTTTGTACATTCAATTTGTTAATCGTCATGGACAGTGTACCATTGTTAACTTAGTTTATTCACTGCAAATGTTCTTTTGCAAGATGAGATTTTTTGTTGGTATTTCATCAGGTATTAACACTATTAATCACCCTATGAACTACACCAAGGAACAACTGAGCGAGGAAAATCTGTAAGTTAAACGCTAAGCCCATCAACAACCCGACAAAATCGTTTAGGCCGTGGAGCCGAGTTTGTAACCTGAAAAATGACAAAGAAATCAAACCACCAAGTTAAGGACCAGTCAAAGGCGCGATCTCTCTACTTAGGGACATGTCATTTATTCAAGGAGGGGGTGCACTAGTGCATTTTCATTTTCCTCTATATAATTTCCAGTGGCCCTGTTCTTGCCGCTACATAAAGTAATGTGTCCCCCCCGCCCTCCTCAAGAGTTCCTTCTCGCAGACGCCTTCAGTAGTCTCTTTTGTAGACAGGAAAAAGAAACATGACACCTTAGAAATGGTTGTAGAATTTTACGTAGCTCTTAATTTTTAGTTGCACGAAAGGTATGACCCCCTCCTCATTTACACCACCCACCCCTGCCCTATAATGAGTGATAGGTCTTATCTTCAAGCACTTGATTGAGTTTTTCACGTTTTGCTCATCCGGCTTAAATCTTTCATCTGTCATTATTCCAATTTCATTATTTCCCTGTTAAGCCATCAGTTTGTCTTCGTGGGTTAACATCGTCACCTTTGTGCCTCTCTATCTTGGCAAGCTAATCTTTTATAGACTTCGTCGCATCGGAGAAGATACACTTTCAGCACAAGCCTGAAATTGTCCAAACGTTCTAAACATTTAGGATAATATAAGTAGTTACAGAAATTTGTTACGGTAACTGCTACATTGATGCCTCTGTGTACAATTCTTTTTCAGTTTTAACCGTATTGTTGACGTGCTCGTGGCCATCTGTGTGGTTTTCGCCTTGTCGTTCGTTCCCGCCAGCTTTGTTGTTTACTTAGTCAACGAGCGAGCTTGTAAAGCCAAGCATCTGCACTTGGTCAGCGGTGTGCGCCCGTTCATCTATTGGCTGTCTACTTATACTTGGGACTTCGTAAGTAGGGGTTAAAAGGTGGTTGTAAATGCAGATCCTCATGCGCTACATGACAGAGAAAACGTTTCTTTAGCTTCCTTTCTCCTCGGACTGCTTTTCCTCTTTTCTTCTCCTCGACGGGACTGTATCGATTGCTAACGTGAGACTGTTTTTTTTTTTTCAGATCAACTACCTCATTCCAGCAGTGGGTTGCATCTTCATTTTCTTGGCCTTTGGTGAAGACTCGTATACTTCGACGAGGAATTTCCCACCGACCTTCCTTCTTCTTATCCTTTACGGGTATGTTGAATATAAATGTCCGTTTTCGATCACAAATTAAAAAAAAAAATTCACCCAAACTATCACAAGGACCACTTTGAACCGGACAATAAAGAATTGGTTCCTGCATAGCGTGCGTATATCAAGTTATGAATGCACGCGAGAAGTTTGGAGAACACAAGAGAGGCGAAAGAGTTGCTTGAGGCGCAGCCGAGAGCAACTCTTAGCTTCTTTAAATAGTCGCTCACCAGGATTTCACTGTTATCTTTGAAAGCTTTCTAAAAGTCTCACGGTTTTTTTCGTAATCCTCTCCCTTTCCCTTTGTGTCCTAAGAGGGACCAGTATCTTCTTTCTTCTGACAACATCACACCTGAGGTAAGGTAAAGTCTGTTTACGAGCCTAGTGGCCCATTAGGCCGGTGCTTAACTCCGGTTTCTGTAGCATGAAGCGACTAGGAGTATTTCTACTCCCCCCTGGATGGGATGCCAGTCCATCGCAGGGTTACCCCCAGCATTAAATTGCCGGTACCCATTTAAACACCTGGGTGAAGAGAGGCACTGTGAGAGTAAAGTGTCTTGCCTAAGAACACAACAATGTCCCGGCCGGGGCTTGAACCCGGACCACTCGATCCGGAGTCGACCGCACCAACCAATGAGGCCACTGCGCCTCCACAATATCACACCTGAATCACACATTAAAGCCACGAGATAAAGGAACTGATCATCTACTAAAATAGCTTTTTGTGGTCAAACAAATTCTCCTAGCCAGAACTATTTAAAATTTACAGAAAACAGTATGGAGAATATGCATACTGATAGCAGGGTGGAAACGGTTAAGCCTGTACTCATTGCCCTCTGAATTGGTCAATGGAATTGAGTATTTTGCGGAAACAGCGCCCTTATACTGACGATTTGACTTTCTCATGGCTTTTTTATTATTATTATTATTATTATTATTATTATTATTATTATTGTAACTGTTGTTACTATTGCTGTTATTATTGCCTCGAAGTCGTTGTCCTGACGTCTCACTGCTCGCCATAATCCTCGGTTGAACTCCGAACACACAAACAAAAATCTCTAAATTTACTCGTCTAGAGACACTAAATCGCCACGCCGAATAGCTCAACAAACTGCAAAGTATATAAGATACTTTCCTGGATATACACAAGTGCTCTAGACTTGGCTCGCTTTCGTTCGGAACGAATTTTATCAGAGCTGACAACACACGTCCGTCCTACTCGCCGCCATGATTATAATATTATTATTACTATTACTATTATTATTATTAATATTAATATTATTATTATTATTATTATTATCATTATTATTATCATTATTATTATCATTATTATTATTATTATTATGCGTAGAGGTCACATGGTAATCACCTGTCTTTCGTCTGGTTCCTCGTTACCTTTCAGATGGGCCATCACACCCCTCATGTACCCGGCATCGTTTGTCTTCAAGGAGTCAAGCACAGCTTACATCGTTTTGATTTGTGTCAACATATTTATTGGAATCAACACTACTCTAGCTACATTCATCTTGGAGTTCTTCGTCGACGATCAGGTGGGGGAATTGGGAGCGAATATAGATCTTTAGATCCGGGCACGCTCATTTTTAATTCAGAAATACGTGAGAGCTATTTCCGAGTTGTTGTACCATTTTTTTCTTGGTTGGGGTACTTGCATTACGACTCTTAACTGACTGTTACTTTCTCGGCTTATAAATGTAGGAGCTCATTGCGGTTGTCGAGATGCTGAAGAAAATTTTCCTGATTTTTCCAAATTTCTGCCTTGGCCGAGGATTAATCGATCTCGCTAGGAATCAGTTTATGGATGTATTTGAGAGGTTTGGTTAGTATCTTGTTTGTTCCTATTTTTCTTTTTTGTACAAGCACTTGTATGAATCAATCGAACGCATTTTTTCACACTACCCCTCTTCCCTGAAATTAAATGTAGATTCCCCCCCTGGCTTTTTCAGTGCAATCTCGAATGAGAATGCCCATTTTAGGGAACGAAAAGTTAAATTGTATGTCGTTTCAAGTGTCAGGAGTATTTTTTCACTGATCACTGCTGGATAAAAATGGTGAAAGCCCTCCAAGTGTGTGTGAAGTTATTGTGTAATGCTCTTGCGCGAGACGCTTTCAGAATCACGCCCAAAGTGATTAAAAAAAAACATTTCAACGCTCTCTGAGGAAGCAAATTCCGAGGTGTGGGCATGATAGTGTGCCATGGAAAATTACACGCAGACTTAGACCCACACCCTCGCCTGGCCTGGGCGGGTAACCACCACACAAGTAAAAATTCCACATTTTGTTTTGTGCCCATGGGCGCATCATGACGCAAATACTCTTTTGCTTACTATTTATCACTTTGTTTTGGTTTTCCTTGTAGGGCAAAATCTGGTTCGTGATCCATTTAGCTGGGACATCACTGGCCGAAACATTATGATGTTGATCATTCAAGGCTTTGTGTTCTTTTTTATCACTGTCTTGATCGAGTATCGCTTCTTCCTTCCGCAGAGGTTAGCTAGTTCTCTTTTTGTGTGTCACTTTCGTGGCGTAAGTTATGAAGTGGCGGTGAGAACAGGGCAACTTCCGCTGATTACCGTGCGGTGAAGTGACATTTTGAGACCACCAATGAGTAGCAAATATCTTGGCGCACAGTACTAATTTTTCAATTTTTTTCTTTTCTATAATTTTAACGTCTTCTTCCCCGTCTCAATGTTGCCTGGTGTTAACAAAATGCTCGCTAATTTTAGGGAACATTATTGGGGGGAGGGGGGACTTTCAGGTAACTTGTTAGATATTAATTACAAGATTGCTGTTTAATATGTTGTCGGGTTGTGGACCACGTCATGGTACTAAGGGGAGGCGTGCTAACCACTACTGCCACTCTGCATCGATGTTTAACACCATGGAAACGGAGAACCCCTTTTTTTGATAAAGATAAGCGCTTAATGACCGGTCGCGAAGGAAACATGGAGTTTTTCCGTGCCGGGGAGGGGGGGAGGGGGGCCTTGCAGGTTGAAGACTTAAACTTGGTGTTCATATCTTTTTTTCTTACTAGACGGGTTAATGTCACCCTTAAACCTCTAGAAGACGAAGATGAAGACGTAGAAAAGGAACGACAACGAGTTGAAAGAGGAGAAGGAGCAGATGACATTCTGCGACTCAAGAATCTCACCAAGGTAAGTTTTTAACCGAGCTAAAGACGCGTTGAGATTTCATGGCACAAGTTAATTGTTTTTCTTAAATAATAGAATTTGCTTGACTTATTTGCCTTCTCTGATTGGTTACAAAAGGACACGATCCATCTATGTTAGTCTCATATTTGCCACTGCTGTCTCGTACGCTTTATTTTCCATGCGTTTTAAAGCAACTGTTAATCCGGATTTACGCTTAAACAAAACTCTGTCTGTACACATCCTCTTATTCTTTATACCCTAACATCAGTATGCATATTCTCCATACTGTTCTCTATACATTTCCTATGGTACCAACAAGGAGAATTTGTCTAGCAATCAAGAGCTTCTTTAGTTGGTGATCATTTCCTTTCTTCTCATGACCCAAATGTTTGATTCAGTAGTGACACTGTTCGGAGAAATTGGATGCTATCACTCCAGGGGGTTAAAGGTTCAAGGTCTCTGCGGCTGATGTGCTGTTTATGTCAGTGGTTGTTTTTGTGGTACCACCAATTTATTTGCGGACTTTTAAATAAAACAAAACCCGATGAAAAGATACCAACTCATGATACTGTTGCTTTGTGGAATATTATTGAGCCAACTTATCTGTTTTTATAGGTGTACAAGTCTAGACGGATAAGGAATGTGGCGGTCAATCGCCTGTGTGTCGGGGTCCCCAAAGGCGAGGTAAGACCAGTTTAATCGGTCTTTTTTTAAGGATGTCTTTATGGCGTGAGTTGACGAAGTCTTCATCATGAAAGAGATAGTATTCCAGGTGTTCTTATGTAGAAAATGGGGAGTTTTATCAGCTTCTAATTGATTTGTTGTGAGCCAACTGAAAGTTTGTTAATGGTAGCTAAACTTCCATAGCGCTTTCCAGTAACAGAGTGCTAATGCTCAAAGCTTCAGTTCTTCCAAATTGGCCACGGTGTTTTATCTGTCTTTGTCAACTTGTATTTGATAATGAACCAAGTGACACGTTTATTTTCGTTTCAGTGTTTTGGATTGCTTGGAGTCAACGGAGCTGGAAAAACGAGCACGTTCAAGATGTTGACGGGCGATATTTCAGTAACTTCAGGAGAAGCCTTTGTGGATGGCTACAGGTGAAGTGTTTCACTTTGGTTGGTTACTTTCTATACGAAATTTTAAAATTCGTTAATACTTTGACTCAGCGTCCAAATTAATCTGAACTTGCTTTGGTTTTCCTTACTTCGCTCTGTGATTGGTCTAAAATAACTTACGCCAGTTTATCAACGGATCAGATACAAGTTATTCACATGCGTTATCCAGGGGTTTCAATAACGTTTTCCATGAGCTGCTGCCAATGGCGTAATAAGTAGGTATGCCTGTGATAGGGGCCTGGGCGAAACACAAGAACCTGCTTGCGGGCTCAACAGATGGTGGTAGAACGCCGGTAACCTACTTTCATTGAAACCCCTGGTGGTATCCCTCGCTCCACGCATTTTTCAGGGTTCAATAGGCCATTTCCAAATTACCTTTGACTTCTTTTTCAAAACGAGGACTGATACTCAACCATTAGTATGAAAATGAGTTTAATTTGCATGTGAATGAATACTTATGGTCATATGAAAGGATGAGCAACAGGACTCGTTTTGAAAAAGAGGCCAAAGGTAATTCAGAAATGGGCTATTTTAACCTCTAACCTATACCTTCTGATATTTTACTTGGTTTTGATTGGCTGTTATGACTATTTTTGTTTAGTTTGACAATACTCAGCCAAGATAAGCTCTATTAGTGTTTAATTGTTCTCATCCGTTTTATTTTTATTTTTCACCACCAGTGTTCTAACTGACATCCATAACGCACACCAATCCATGGGCTACTGTCCCCAGTTTGACGGGCTGGATAGCCAGCTGACTGCCGCTGAACACCTTCGACTGTATGCACGGCTCAGAGGAGTTCCCGAAAAAGACGTCAAAAAGGTTTGACAGGTTTCCTTTTTAACCTTTTATTTCCCGGAGCAGATCAGCACCTAACTTCCCCGTTTTAATTACGATATATTATTCACCCCGGGGCTAAGCCAAGGAGAACATTGTGGGGAAAGAAGCATTGTTTCCTATGGAGCCAGTCATTAAGTATTACTTTACACTTTCAACTAAAAATGTAACAGTGATTGGACATAAAATTGCCGCGGTTTCATGGTGCATCACCTGATCACGTGATGGTAGTTAATTTTTGTTCGCCTTTGGAAGTTAACTAGTTTTCACCCATGGCACGTGACCCGTTCTCCTCCAATCGGAAAACGTATTTGAGCTGGGAGGTGTAACAATTTCTGTTAATTACCTTTGTTTACAGGTTGTCGAGAGTCTCATTGCTCGAATGAATTTGACTGAATACGCCAACAGATGTGCTGGTGGGTACAGCGGAGGGAACAAAAGAAAACTTTCCACGGCCATTGCATTAGTTGGCAATCCACCAATTGTTTTCCTGGTAGGTCACCGGAGCTTTGTTTTCTCATAGTTTTCCCCAAGTGATTCGTCTTAAACCGCGAACACTATCACAAAAACTTGTCTGTGTCTTTAGAAGTGCATCACTCCTGGGTTGTTCAACTTCGCAATCCATGTCAGTGTCCTCCACTCTCAATCTCTTCTTAACCTTTTTATAACCTAACATTAGGAGAATTTGTCTAATAGTCAAAAGCCTCTTCAGATCGTGTTCGTTATTCTCGTGACCTTAATGTTTAATTCAGGGTGATAATGGAAGGAGAAATTAGATGCTCATCATTTGTGGGCGATAAAGGGTTAAAGTGTCGAACGAGCTGCATACGTGGTGTTAAAAGCTTGGTAGTAGCGTAACGTTCGTTACGTTCCGTTACGTCGCGTTACGTTGCTTTCCGTATTATGTATTAGTCATGAAATATCGTAAATTTTATTTCAGGACGAACCGACCACTGGTATGGATCCAAAAGCTCGCCGATTCTTGTGGAACGTAATTACTAGTCTTGTAAAGGAAGGACGCACAGTCATTCTGACTTCCCACAGGTAAACTATTCGACGGTGGGAATGATTAAAATTGTATGGTGATCGACATATCTAACCACCATACACAAATGGGGAAAATCAGTAATGCGACGTATATTCGGCAAAGTCTGCGAATGTTACCGAAGTAATATCTTATAAAAACCCGAACTTTAAAGTGTAAATGTCAGCCTTGGTTGCCTCTAACAGTTAAGCAGGCTCACACATTTCAGGGAAACGTGTTGGGAACCAGTACAAAATATTTTCTTTCTTAGGGACAGATATTTAGTTCTTATTAACCGAGCGGGAGGTCTGTATGGGAGAATCTTGACCGCGGTCGCCAGNGTAAATTTTCACAGCGAAAATACACTCATTTGGCTTTTGGTAAACTCTCCGTTCGGTTACTGTTAAGAAAAAGCACGAAATCGAAGGATCATTCCATTCCTTACAATGAGCACCGAGACATCGGGGTACGAAGCATCAGAATATTTTTCTGCAGAATTTGGTAGGTCAAGACTCGTGAGATCTGGAGAAGCATGTCATCTCACCAGGGGATTTCGGGGTCACTAAGGATAATCAGGGCACTCCCATGCTAGTCTCCCACCTTTTAAGGCTAATTGACTAATATGGAAGGAGATACAATGAAATATATGAAGTTCATATATTTTGTACTGCGGTATACATATGATGCACGATATTTCATATATTCCATTGTATCTCATTTATCACTTTCACGGGTTTATTACGAATCAACTTAACGGCCTGCTCCCAGTTGGCTTGTTAGCTCAATTGGTAGAGCGCTGCACTAGTATCGCAGAGGTCAGTGGTTCGAATCCCGTACAGGCCTGATTTTTTTCAGGTCTGATTTTCGCTATTGCTTAAATAGCGCTATCTACTGCGAGGATCGTGCATCATATGTATACCGCAGTACAAAATATATGAACTTCATATATTTCATTGTATCTCAATATCAACTAAGTTAAAATTGCAAATTGGCCACCGTAAAGAGTAAAAAAGCTTAGGTTTCGAGCGTTAGCCCTTCGTCAGAGCGTATGACGAAGGGCTATCACTCGAAACATCAGCTTTTAACTCTTTACGGAGGCCAATTTACAATTTCAACTTAGTTGATATAACCAACTCAGATGACCTGGGTCGAGTTGCATGAGAGCGAGGCACGATTTTAGTCTCAGTGTATGCTAATAAGAAAATCATGCCTCAAACGTCAGCTTTTTAACTCTTTACGGTGGCCAATTTACAATTTCAACTTAGTTGATATTGCCAAATTACCTTGTTACCCCCACCGATGCAGCACCACAGTTTCTTTAGAAACGTACCCCCTTTATTCATAACCCTTTATATCCTAACATTGGTATGCACATTTTTTACACCTATTTTCATAATTTTTATAATTCTCCTGACAAGGAGAAACTGTTTGGAGCTTCCCAAATTGGCGATTAGTTCCTTTGTTCTCATGGCCTCTATATTTGATTTACGTTCTTAGGCAATGTTCTATTCGTTCGACTTGCTTTTGCACTTTGTTTTAGAATCTGTTGTGCTATGTTTCAGTTTCACATAGACTTGAGATTCTAAAGATCCTCAAGAGCCCCCCGGCCTGGTTTTCCTGCCTGATTTTATGTTTTTTTTTTTTTATATAGATATGGAGATGGCTATACAGTGACATTGCGAATTGGAGGAGAATATCCCGATCTGGAAGCTGTCTCGGAGTTTATAAAAAGCTTATTCCCCAGCGCTGTTCTCAAGGTATTGATTGAGTTCCAGGCCCTGAATTATTGTTTCTTAAGAATGTGACATACAGTCCCTACCCAGCCATCATAATCACCATTTTAGCTTCCTTCCTTCTTTTCTCCCTTCCTACCCATCTACTTCAAGTAGATGGATGAGCCATGTACATACTCAACGTACTTACTTTACCAACCTACCTACCAACTTTTCTAGCTACATACCTATGTAGAGACCTGCGTTCTTATCTACCTTCTTTGTTCGCTCACTTTCCCAACCACCTACCGACTTATTTTGAACCACTTACTTGTGTACCAAACACCCCCCCCCCCCACCTTCTGATCTCCAATAGTACCTCCCTTCAGGTCCAACTTCATCAAGTTTTCCTACCCTCCACCTTTCCTTCCTTCCATTCTACCCGACGTAACTCCTAACCCGCCTATCAGGTTACCTACCTACCTTCCTTCCATACTAACTACTCTCCATCTTCCTATCCACCAACCTTTGTACTAAAATTTCCCTCCTTCTCCGTCCCAACCGACCCCTCCTTCTCCGTCTCAACTGACCCCTCCTTCTCCGTCCCAACTGACCTCTCCTCCGTCCCAACCGACCCCTTCTCCGTCTCAACCGACCCCTCCTTCTCCGTCCCAACCGACCCCTTCTCCGTCCCAACCGACCCCTCCTTCTCCGTCCCAACCGACGTTCCTGACTGTCTACTCATAGTTACGTTTTGTTCCGTGTTTCTTACAAGCCCATTGACCTGTCTGCCTACCAGTTAACAGTATGATTTATTTTCGTCATCGTCAACTGATCAACGTCATTTGAATGTTTCTGCAGGACCAACATCATAATCAGTTGCAGTATCAGTTTCCATCTCAAGGCCTTGTTCTCTCCAAAGTGTTTGGTCACATTGAAGCCAATCGAAAAATCTTCGACATCGAAGACTACTCTGTTTCACAGACAACCCTTGATCAGGTTTGTTGGTGATCCTAATATGACCGTCATTCATCAGGTTTTAGGGACCTTAAGCAGTCAGGACGGCAACGCCAAGGAAGACTTGGATTAAAAAATGAATTTCTACTCTTAGTTAGAATTTCAAAAATAGCTGCATGAGCTTTCTACTCATACGGCGTCACAGCTTAACTTCAGCATGACGTATAGAAGTAGCGTTGAGTTCAAAATGGAAATTAAATTAATTTGCCGTCGCGGTTTCGGTTCGCAGACGACGCAAATTTTGCCGATTTCACGTTGTTGTTTTGCATAGGACAGCTAAGAAATTTGCAAAGTTTCAAAACGCACGTGCTGGCTATTGTTCTGCCAATTAGATCTCTTGTTTTTTCATGTCCTCGTTGCCGTCGCCGTCCTGGTTGCTTAAGGGCCCTTTTATGTCAGGGATAAACTGGGAGACAGTAAGAGCCGATCACCTTAGAGAGGGTACTGGAGAGCAATTGTAGCATTTTGTAAGCGCCTCAAACTTCTTGAATACAAGGGTCTTCATGTCTTCATGAACGCCCGCAGAAACATGAAAAAATTGCTTTTTAACATTTTCAACACGGTTTTTGAAATGTTTTATGGAGCGAAGTTTCAATACATACAGAGATGACGTCGCAACTTACAAGGGGAATATGATGCACGCTCGTACAATTGAATATGATTGTACGATTTTAGACTCAGCCTCAGTCCTTATCGTATCTCTAGATGCATAAAGCTTTGACTAGAGACTGCCACTGTTGCCAGTCTCTCGCGTTTTTTTCTTCAGTCAGCTCTTCCCAGCCCACTCATCTCCCCAACATCTCCTTTTGAACTGGATGTCGCCAGATGATTTAGTAGCTATACTAGGATTCACCTTTTTTTCCCTCTCTGTTTAGGTGTTTATTAACTTTGCAAAGAATCAGACGGATGGCACTGGCGAAGAATGCGAGGTAGTTCCCAGTTCGCCGTGGGAGTTAGCGGTCAACGAACCGACGTATTACGATGAAGACGCCGGGCCAAGAGCATCGTTTGTCCGTTTGTCCGATTATCCTCCTCAGGACGGTGTTGAGGTCTGATTCACCCTTAAACAGTTAAAAAAAACAACGAAACATTTGTAAAATAGCCAAGAAAAAAGGAAAATCTTCTTCTACTCCTGGCGTTACTTTTTCAAAATCACCGCCATTTTATTCTGACCGACCCCCTATAAGTTCAATTCACCATAAAATTTATTAACTGTTCTCACAAAGGATACATCCTGGTGACTAGTACAAAAGTTTCCGTCAATAGAGATGTCTCTTCAATGGAGGGGACACGAGGTAATCGACACAGTTGAAGTAGGATCAAAGGCTGTGTCCTTGGATCAAAGGCTGTGTCCCTGGATCAAAGGCTGTGTCCCTGGATCAAAGGCTGTGTCCCTGGATCAAAGGCTGTGTCCCTGGATCAAAGGTTGTGTCCCTTGAACAAAGGTGTTCCGTGTGTAGAAGTGTCTCAAAAGAGAAGTTTCATTATATACCGAAGACATTGAATTGAATTTGTAGAAATTAGCTAAATAGGGTCTGGCGGATTCTAAGTTTTGCTTTTTACTTAAATGACCTATGCCTTTACTTTGAAGTGGCGTAAATTTTTACCTTTGAACTAATTCTTTCTTGTTTTCATGTTCGTTATTTCCTAGTTTGCCCTTATATTTTTCAGTAAAGTAGGCTAGGATCACTGGAAGCTTGAGGTCTGCCGGATCTAAGGCAACGAGATCTCAATGTATTGACACTTGAAAGTTTAAGAAAAAGCTTGTAAAATGTACGTTTGAAAAGAACAGGGTTGCTCTACAACCCATAAATCATTAGTCTTAGTACACTCTTCGTAGATTTCGAACACAGGTTCCTAGTACACATCTCGGTAGAAAATAACAGAGTATCGCCTGGCAATAACAGTCTGGACTGTTGTTCTGATGTTCAGGTTTACCCGTTTTTTTTCTGCAGCGAGAAGACCTGGTAACTACTAGAGTTATCACAGATATAAATTAGCTACGAGGTTATTTTGTAAATGTTTTATTTTTAGGTATCTTTATATTTGTTGCAATTGTTTGCCTTGTTGACGAGGAATTCCTTATCATACCAATGCGTAGTTAGCGAATACAGGAAACATTTTCTTTCAAAGAGAAACTTCGTAAGAATCCTTGTGTTTTGAAACAGCTAGGCCTAAGACTCTTGGAGTCCTCCAATAAATTACTTTAAGTTGCAAACATCTTGATGTCCGCTGCTTTTTTTTTTTTCTTGTGTACATTTTTTTTTTAATTATTTCGTTGATAGAAATTTGAGCTAGGAAGACGTCATCTGCGACGAAGTCTCCGTGTTTTTCGTGATATGAGAAGCGTACTAACTCCTTTGAAACCCAACGTCACCCCTGACGTCACGGTCACTAGAATAAAGGAACTGACCACTAACTAAAGAACCTCTTGAGTGTTACACAAATTCTCCTTGTCAGCATCTTAGGAAATGTTTAGAGATGATAGGGTGCAACAGAGTAGAAGTCACGAAGATACTGGAGTAAGAGAGCAAACGAAAGTCTTGGCCCTGGTTGTTCGAAAGGTGGATGACGCTATTTAACGGATAAATCGCTATTCAGTGGAAAAGAGTTAACATACCGAACTGCACTTCCCACTGGATAGAGGTTTATCCTGTGGATAGCGTTATCCAAGGTCGCCAAAAGTAATCCGTATTAGTCCTCTTCATATTTTCCAACCTAGTTCCTATTTCTTTTATTTTTACTTCTTTTGTGTTCGTCTACAGAGTAAAATACTTAATTTTAAGGTTTGCCTCTATTTGAAGCGCTTTTCGATTGAGTGTTGTGAAACCAACCCCAAGGTAATTACAGCGGCCAATCAGAGGAAAGGAAAATACCCTAAAGAGCCAATAAGAGCTCAAAGTTTTGGTGTCCAAATCGCGAATGGTTTCAGTTTTGAATCGGATTGGTTGAAAAAGCTGTGCCAGTTTTCTGTACCAGTCAAAAAACGAAAAAAACGCAAACCAAATCAATTCCAGATTTCTTTCGATATTTAACTGAAAATTGCTCTAAAGGCGATGGCTATCGTGACGCAGATCCTCAAAACACCCTCAGGCCTGCTATTCAGATATTAGACCTACGATCCCAAAACTTTTGCTTCAACTGCCACTCTATCGTCTACTAGGTCCAGCAATACTTCCAAGAGTGGAACACCAAACGTTCCTTGTCGCTTCAGAGCAGATTCCACTTCTGCAAGCCAGGCTTGCTCCTGTTCGATCCTAAGCCTGGCTTCCTCTCTCTGACTGACACTTTCATCCATGATTTGGTCGAGATCCGCTGATGATATGTTCAGAATCGAGCACGCCTTGCTTTGAGCCTCTCTCACAGCGGCCTTTGAGGTTTCCCGCCATTGCTTCTCGTGGAGTGCTTCAAATTTTCGTCGCATTGTGCGTGTTCGCGAAAGGATTTCTTCCACAAGTGTTCGAACAAACGCTTGAAACTCTTCTATTCGCTCTTGAGCCTTGTCAAATTTTCGTTGAAGCGAGGCTATCGTAGCTTCACTCTGATTAGCTAAGCCCTGAAGCTGCATCGTGGCCGCCGCTTCCATCTCACTGACCGCTAATTTGGCTTGATTGCGCAGGGTCTGGGACCTTTGAAAGAGATCATGCAGGAAAATCATTGAAATTATTTCAGGAATTGTTAATCATCTCTGTTGAATTAAGATTCTAAAAAACTTTCATTCCGAGCCTATGTCAGCTTATTTATACTTGGAAATTTGGAGTCTTTTATTTATTTACATCCGCGATGTCCAAATCGTTTGAATAACAAGTAACCAAGACACTTTTTTTTTTGCGAGTGAATCGAAAAAGACGTGGAAACTGAGAAATAAAAAGATAGGATTAGCCTCTTGACCCTGTCAGCGATTAATCTCTTATTTCTCCTTAAAATATCATCCCTGAAACACACATTAAGGTCACGAGAATAAAGGAAATGATCACCAACTAAAGAAGCTTTTGATCATTAAACAAATCCTTGTTGTCAGTACAGTGCGAAATATATAGAGAACAGAATCAAGAATTTAGATTTGGGTAGAGAGGTGTATGGTACAGAACACGCTCTGAGACATCAATCACTGTGACATCTAAATTTCTATCTAATGTCACCAACATTGACGCATTAATGCCGATTATGCAACTTAAAATTACCATTTGCACAATTTCATCAGAAAACATTTCTCTTATTTTAGGGACCAATCAGAGGGGGAAGGGATGGGGGGGATGTGGGGATCGCGGACAAAAATGAGAAGATATGTGTCATGCTGCCCGCGCCAGAGTGAGATAAAAAAAAATGAAATAAGACATAAAAAGCATCTCACAAAGGTAGTGTGCGGAGGGTACAGGGTGTAATACTTTTCCTGTTTTCAAAAGCATACCTGTTTAGTTGCTGAATCTTTTTCTTCAGTTCACTCTGACAACTCAGCAGTTGTTGACGGTAGTTTTGTTTCTCACGAGTCTCGCCGTCCAACCGGAGTTCAAGTGTCTCGATTCTCACTCTGGTTGCTTTCTCTCTTTCCTTTAACTGCGAGAGTTTTTCTTCCGAATTCTTAACAGTCTCCGCATCTTTCTTAGCTTTTTCTTCAACTTCTTTCATCTTGGATTTCATCTCGTCCACTAAAGTTTTCTTCTGAGTTACTGCGTGCTCAAGCCTTGTATTGTTCTCTTGTACGTCTTTAATCTTCGCTCGCAATTGTTCATTCTCGCTGTTTAATGTTCTAACGATGCTGGCCAGCCGAATACATTCCATCGTAGCCTGCCGCAATTCTTCTTCTAAACGCCTCCACTCAGCTATCGACAAAGTGCTCGGTTTGGAATCTATTTCGTGTCTCTCTTTCAATTCCTCCGTCAAACGCTCTTTCTCACGCGTGCAAAGCTTCAAGCTATGTGTCAAATGCTGCACTGAATTCCTGCTGACATGTAACTTGTTTAGCAAAGCGTTCTATTCCTTTTGTAAACTTTCATAATCACTTGTCTGAACACTCAGAGCCTTCACGGCTTTGTCCTTAGACTGTCGAAGCGCATTTACTTCTTGCGTGAGACTAAGAATTCTCTGCCTCATGCTCGCCCCTTCGTTTCGTCGGGGAGTTTTCCTCGCAACTATTTTAGGCTGTGGAGTACCTTGCCGACGAACTCCAGTCTCCTTAGAGACAGCACTTTTCTTTTCAGCACTAGACTTAACATTGTTCGTGTCCTCTTCGTCCATTGATGAGGCATCTTCAGCATCTAAGTTCACGTGAACGCTGGTGTCGACAAAACGAGGGATCGGATCTGTCTGCGTTCCATGTGACGAGGAGAATTTCCTTTCTGATTCTCCACTATCCTTTGGAGGGCTTGATAAAATCCGATCAGCAATGCGTTTGACTTGCTCGTCGTAACTACTCAAGGATTCAACGTGCTGTTTGGCAAATTCTGCATCCTCTTGAGCGCTTTCAGTGGTATTTTCAAGTTGTGCCGTTCCGTCTTGTGCTGCACCAGACACTTCTCTGTCATTCTCTGTCTTCTTCGCTTCTTTATTAACAAGTTCATCATGACGCTTTTTAAGATTCTCGAACTCTTCCGCCAAACCACTAAACTCCTCCGCAAGTGATTTATTTTGTCCTTGTATGGCTTTGATCTCATGCCGCAGAAGTTGGTTTTCCTCCTCTAGCTCATTGCACATCGTCTGTCCTCGGAGAGCCTTTTCTTGCCAACTCTGCAATTGATCTTCCACCTTCTCCGCTTTAAGTCGAAGTGTTTCAAACGCCTGTGTCTCTGCTGCAATCTTACTACGAAGCGTGTTGCTCTCTTCTCTTTCTTCACGGAGATGAACTTGTAGTTCTTGTATGTTTGCAACGTTATGAGAATGCTGCACTCGAAGAACGTCAATCTCCTCTAAAACAGCATGCCTTTCTTTAGCCAGTTCTTCATATTCGTGCCTATAGTAAGCCAGTTCCTTCCATACTTGATCACTGTCCAAGTGCCTCAGTTCACGTTCTTCCGACTTTTCTGGAGGTGGTTTTACATTTCCGGTTTCGTCAGCATTCGAAGCCTCGTAAGTTTTAATTTGTTCTAAGACAAGTTAATAATTCTCTTTGAGCATCCTGTAGCGTTGTTGCCGCTGCGCATGTGCGCGTCGTGTCTCCACAAGTTCCGCCTCTTTCAGCTCTAAAAGTTTCTTCAACTCTTCAATTGTATCTCGACTTTCGCTCAACCGAGTCTCCAGGTCACGAAGTACTGTTACTTTATCGATTTTTCTTTCCAAAGATTCTTCATTCATCACCATTTTAGACGGAGATTCATCAGCAGTCTCGTCATCGGAGCGGTTCGTAACTTCTGTTCTATTACGTTCTTCCAAGCTCTCGAGTTCTATGTCTTCACCGCGTCTTCGACTCTTTCCCTCCCCTATCTTTGCTTGTGTCCTCGCTTTTCTCTCCATTGGCCTTCCCTTGCCTTCCTCTTCATCATCACGTCTTGAAACTTCTCCCGAACGCATTCCCTCTCTCACGGCATCCTTTAATTCGTCAATTATCAATTCCTTGACATTAAGATCTTCTCGCTGTTTGCAGGAGTTTTCCTTTAATTTCTCAATATCCTGCAGCAGTTTAGTCTCCTTTTCTTGATAAGCCGAGCATCGGGCTTGCAAATCAGCGACAGATTTTTGCAGGGATGCGATTCCTCTGCGGTATTCTTGCTCATGATCCATCAGAGCCTGTCGATTCCTTTGTTCATTCTCCTCTAGTTGCTGTATGATCCTTTCCTTCTCTGACATTTGCGCCATAGACTGATTGCTTTCGACTCTTACTTGTTCAAAATCCCTGTTCACTGCCTCTAAGTCGCTCTCTAGTTTTCTAATCATTTGAGCTTGTTCTTGCAATGACTGTGACTGCTTTTGTAAAAGATTTTCCCTGTTAGTCAATTCTATCTCAGCTTCTTCACAATTCTTGGCAACTTCGGTGTTTTTTAAGGTCAGGGTACTTACTTCATCCGCCAAGGTCTTCATCTTCTCCTCAAGAGTTGCATTAACTTCGATAACAGAAGCCATTTTCAGTTTTTCCTCGCTTAAATCACTGACTTGTTTCTCCAACACAGCGATCCTAATTTTAAGCTGATTCTTTTCCTCTTCAATACCATCCAGATTATCCTTAACAGTTTGATCATCGACTTCTTTTTGCGCCTGATGAGCTTTCAGCAAAGTGGACAAATAGCTATTTTCTTCGCTCATTTCCCTTTGTTTGGTTGAAAACTCCTTTTGTACCTCGTCCAACTTCTGCTTCAATTCTTCGTTCTCGATCAGTAAGTCGTGATATCGCGTCTTGCTGTAGTGTGCTTCATCCTCCAATGACAATAAATTCCCTTTCAACTCTTTGATCTTTTCATCCTTCATCTGTAAGATCTCTAAAACTTTCTTGTCTTTCTGTTCACTCTTCTCTTGTTCGCGTGCGATCACCATACTTACAACAGAGGTCACATCTGGTTGCGATGACTGCAATCTGCGCCATAAATTCCACACAAAATCCTTGTCAGCTTTACACTGAGCAAGTTCTTCTAAAATAGCTCGATTTTCCTCGATCAGATCTTCCAAAGCTTTCTGCTGATCAGCTCTTTCCATGATATTCTAAAAGCTACAATATCGTGTCAAACACCAAGCAATCATCCCTTGATTTCACCCTGGTTTAGAGTCATTTTCCGTCAGAATCGAACCAGAGGTCTCATCTTTAATATTAAACCGTCCCCTCGTGCACATCTGGTCTCAAAACGTTAGAAACTCGGTTAAAATCGAGTCGAACTTAACAGACTCTTCCAACCGCCAATGCCGCCATATTTGTTTTGGGACCTAATTGCTACTCGGAATGTAAAGAACTTAGAGATCTGGGTACGAGTTTTTAGATACCGCTCCTCTCTCGCTTTGCAAAGGCGGCTTCACAGTATATTGATTACGGATATAAATCATTGAATAAACTATTTCTTCCACAAAAAGAAAAAAATTAATAAGGCTGCCAGCAACGAACGCTGATTGAAAGCCATTGAAGTGCCTCAAGTAAAATCTCTAAGTGCTCCAAACGTTGGGCTCCTGAGGGCTCCTGAGGGCTCCAAATGCTATCGATTTCCATTGGGAGCAAGCGAGTCATGTCATTGATATATGATATCTCTCAAAATCACACATACACGGATTGATCTGAAATAAAAACACGAAGAACGTATTATGATAATGATGTTTATAAAAATACGACGGATTATTAGTACTTTTTATTTTATCATCAGGAAAGTAAGGCAATAGCAAAAAAACAAAACAAAACAAAACAAAAAACGGAAACTGGTGACATCCGACAATAATCGACAGAAGTCGATGAGAATCAGCTCATGTCCTCTGTTACAAATTTTGCCTCGTTAGAACGGGAAATGTCAATATGTGATCGATACACGAGGCCGTGCATGTTCTGCATGGGTACGAATTTTAACTTCGAGTATTGATAACATCACTAACGAGTTCCGAGTGAACCATGCGAACGTATGAAAGATGTCATAAACACGAGAAAAATGCATTTGTTTCTACGAGAGGGCATGTTGTTTTGGAGATGTTGATATCGTACTTAGATCGAAGACAATTTTAAAGCACACTTAAAGTGCACCTTAACTTCTGACTTAAAAGTGAAATGAACTGAATAATTCATTTGCAGCAAGTTTCGTATGATAAAAGAAAATTGCCATATCTTCACGCGTATGGATAAAGGTACGTTCACTGCGCTCGGAAGGGACATCACGTTTTCGAAACGGGAGAAAAACTGATATTTAATCAATATTTATTTACGAATTGGTGTTTTTCGATTGGAAGGCCGGTCTCTTATTGGGAACGTAATGAAAAATGTGGATCTTGAATATTTAAGCCACGGTAAAACCAGCTTTGAGGAAATGTTATTAAGCTCATCCGGTGAATCCACATCGTTTTACTATCCTTCCGTAGGGCGTAACATAAGAGAAAGTTGACGCGAGTAAGACATATTTAACGCCTGATTTGGACGATGTTTTTTTTTTAACCCTAATAAAGCAATATTTATTTGTTTGTGTCCGATCTTGTCGACAAGAATTTTTGATGTCGTGCACTTTTGATTCCTAACTTGCAATATCAAAAGCACTCTAAAGGCTTTGACTTGAGAGGTATACAAAAAAGATCTATTCTATCGACAAGATTTTACAGATTTTCAGTTCACACACTTCGATCTGCATGACTAAACCTCAATTTTCTCCTTTTATGACGTTACCAGCAACTCTACGTTTGCATATTTGGCAAGACTAAGGAAGAGCAAAAGTTCCTAAGGGTCCTCTCCCTGATCAAGGAAATTTTTTAAAAAATAAAACTATTTCGGTGATTATGTTTTTTACGAAAAATTTAATAAATTTATCGAAATTGCATTCTATCTTAGAGGAAATTTCATGACGATCTTCTTTGATTGGGAAAGACGAAAGAAACCACATTGGAAATTCTCAATCGTAGAAAAACAAACTGCTGGCCCCACTCCTGTCAGAAATACTTTGTCAGCTACATAGTGTAGTTGAGTTGCTGTAATATCGTCAGATTAGTAGCTGTAAAATTAGCGGCGATCGACACGAACAAGGATGGATACTTCTTCTGCTTCAAGGGATCAGGCAGAGAAGAAAAAATGCCAGTGCCTGAATAAAGTAAGCAACTTCATCACTGGCTCGATGGAAAAAGGGTTTTATAGGTGAGTAAAATTTGAGTACAAGACAGTTAAAAAATGGTGAGCTTATGTTTGCAGATGAGGAACACTGCTGATTGCAGGTGTTACGGAGATTGTAACGGAAGGGATGTTCTATGACGAAGAAAGGAAGAAAAAAATGAAGCCGTGGCTATCTTTGGGTAAAGTTTGAAAAGGCCTTCAAGTCTAATCACTTTAAAATTTTACGACTTCTTTTCGTGTCAAATTTGAGACGCCATTACGTAACCATGCCAGTTGGGGAAGGAAGGAGAAACCTGTCGCCAACTGCGGAAGGCTAAACTAAAAACGCCAAACGTAAAAACATTAAATTTTTCACGGCTGCTTATTGACTTATTCTACCTTACTAGTCAGAATAGCTTACGAAAGTCTGATTAGATTACCGATTTCTTCCCAATATGTCCAAGCAAAAGTCAATATTTGCCGGTATATTCAGCATTTGTTTGTGTCGTGAAGTGTTAGGGAAGTTTGATACTGAGAGATCGACAGTGATATAGTTAATAAGTAACCGATTTAAGTTCCTTCGTGAGGTGTATTTTCCATGCGCGAGATTCAAACTTTGCGTTGGGTTTCGATTTGTTTCGATAGTTACCCAAGGCCTCTAAGTATGATGTAATCGTGCTCAACCGTTGTCTAACCTCGGAAGATTCAAGGATCGATATATTTACGAAAAAAAAGCCTTATGGTACTCGCTTTACGCAAATATTATGCTGTAGAGCTGTGGGAGTTTACAGAGTTCTTTCTTTGGGTAATCCTTTCTTCAATATGGCTTTCTTCAAGAATACACGACCACGTACGATGCCTGACAATTAAGCTTAATGTTTTCAAAATAATTAGTTTTCTCGCATCGTTGGTAGCTACATGGTTTAAGGTAAGGCGGTCGATCAAACACTGAAATTTCAAGCAGGAGTTTTTAATATTATTTGAAAATGACCACACTGGTTTCTCTACGTAATGTTTTTTTTTTACGATCGTACCTCCGTTTCGGTCGTATTTTAATGAGCTTGATAATACCACTTCGATGATGAGATTGCAGCTTTAATGATTGTCATCGCTTAACCATCACGAGGGCTGGAGTAAATTTTGAATTAAACACAGGTCTGGCTTCAAAATGGAGACCATATTTTGTTTTTCAGTCTTATCTTTGTATTGAAAGTTGTATGTCATTTACAGAGACTTTAATACTCATAAAAGTAACAATATTGATTTACCTTGAAAGGCGTAAGACGTATTTAGATACCGATTTATGATTTCGTTGACAGGGATACTTCATGCCCTCAATCTGGATGCACAATTTTGTTTTCAACCTCATTTCCAATTCGGTTTTTATATCAAGCAGATGTTTGATTGTGATATTTATTAAGAGTTATTAATGTGACAAGTTTGCATTGTTGTTGATAATGTCTGCAGGAAATGTCTTTATTTAACCCTGTGCTTTTTTATGCATACAGCTTTTTGATGAAAGTAAGCAAAATCAATAAGAATAATAAAAAATAGAAAGAAACACTAAACCTTTGGTAACAAGGCTTCATTGTAGAATAGTGGAATAATAGGGTAATGTACGGAAATCTGTCCCAAGTACATTCAGTGAAGTTTCTTGCCCTTGTAAATCATTTTACAATCTTGATCATTTCATAGCTAGCTCACTAATGTAGCTTTGTGCTATACATCATGGGAAGTTCAGATTTTGTGTCCAGGTCTACAGAGATGGTTACACTGTAACCCTTTAAACTCCCAGAAGTGATCAATTTGTAACTTCTCCTTGTGTTATCCATACATAATTCAGCAAACAAGTTATGAGAATACTCAAACTTAGGTAGAAGTTGTTATCTTATCACGCAAAATTCTTTTTAGTAATTTACAAGGAAATGTGTAGCAGCTAGAGGAAAGAATCAAGAACCAGATCTTGGAAGTTAAGGATATACAGGTAGATGGAGAACAGTAAGGAAGATTTTTCAACTTGAAACTTTTTTTGTTTTTCCTCAGGTTAGGAAGAGCAGTTGGTGGAAGTCCTTGGATTACTATCTTGATTTCACTCATTGTCTGTGGGGCATGTGCAGCTGGGCTCATCAACTTTACTCAAGAAGCACGAGGGGACAAGTTGTGGACTCCTGAAGATTCAACAACGCAAAAGCACAAGCTTTGGGTGGATGACAACTTTCCATTAGAATTGCGTGTATCCACAGTTCTACTTGTGGCTGGAGATGTTCTTACTCCTGCAGTTTTGAAAGAGGTATAATACCTTGATAATAATTTTACTGTACATCTACAATCATTATGGTTTCTGTTGTTCCGGTAAAAGTTTTGATGTACTAGAGAAACCAACTCTGGATAAAAGTTAGCCACAGGTGAGGAAAAAGTCAGGGAAAAATAAGTTTTTTGTAAGGTTTTTAGGGAATTTTGCTCTGTGTCAGAAAAAATGTACAGCCATCCTTGAAAATCCTATGTTTTTAATGTTGGTTTAAATTTTTTTATCCAGTTCAATATTTATGGAGAGTTTGGTATCTCAAATAATGGTAATGATTATAGTAGAAAACTATAAATGAAAATCTAACAAATTTGAAAAAATTTCAAATCAAGAAAAGTGATGGAATCAAATCACACATGTATTACGTAACCATCAATTTGTTCAGATTAATGCAAATGTCGGCTTCCTACCTTGTAATCTGACAAATGCCTTCCATTGTTATCTTAGTGCACATGCCCCAAGGCACAAGCTGGTTAATTCTGAGATGCACAGAATGAAAGTGTTACGAATCAGTAACTTCACCTGACAATAATGTGTCACATTTTTCCAAATATGGCAGTTTTACTTTCAGTTGTTATTCAAGACTATATTGGGCTCACTCAAATAATCACAATTAACTTAAAAAAAAGTTGATTCAAAATTTTATGAAGTGTAAAATTTTGTAGACACTCTATCACATCAGCAACAAACCAATTAGGGGAGTTCATTTGATATATATTAAATAGCTTTAACTTGAAGTTAGTTTTGCCAGAGACTTTGAGATGGTAAATTTGTTCTAAAATGATGTATCATATTTTTATCATAGAATCTTTTTTAACATTTGAGTAATCTTTTAGGCACTCACAATTCATAACAAGGTCAAAAAAGTAGGCAATGGAACTGATATTTCTTGGGAAAAATTTTGTTTCAGGTAAGTGATATCAATCTAGAAATGATCTTGGTCATGTATTTTACTTTTTGTGATCATAAATTCTCATTTGTAAAGAGAGAAAGCATTTATTTCATCAATCATTTACAGAACAACTCAGAAAATTGAATGAAAGAAATATCTTTGAAATGTTACTGTTAAGAAAATGGCAATCAGGCATGAAAAAACCAAGCTCTACTTGGTCATGATAATTAGCTTTTTGTTTTGTGGTTTGCCAACTTGATATAATGTCTAGTTTTACTGGTGAGAAGACAATGAAAACTAGGGATGTACTTCAAGAGATCATGGTTTTCTAAGTTAGACTTTTAAATGACCTCCTAGTTCTGTACATGATACACCCCTAACATAGATATTATAGAATTAAGGAGAATGTAATGATAAAAGTAATAATAAAGATTCTTAAACAATAATTAAAATTTTATAATGACTAATAATTATTCATCAAAGTGGAGGTGAATGGTGGTAAATATCCAACACTTTCACTCACACTTGAAGTAAATTATTGTTTTCATATTTACTTCGCATATACCAAAAATTAAGCATTCATATATTTTTTTCAATAAATTAAAAAAAAAAAATGGTCAGCATTAAATTAAACTTATGACTTGCAATTTCAGATTGTTTTTTAATTGAATGAATCTCTAATAGGGTTGGCCCAGTTTGCTTAAACAATGGTCTACTGGAACTTTGGTCATTTGACGAGGCTCGTATTAATTCACTTACAAAAGAAGACATCTTGAGGAAAATAAACCAGCCAACTATCATAAGGTACTGGGATTTAATTAGGAACAGTATTGAAGTAGCTCATGAACTGACAGCCAGAAAGCAAGATACCAATTCAAGACTAGGGCAGGTCTGCAATGTAACCCAGAGGAATTAGAATCAAAGTTGATTGCACTTTTACATTTGATCACAGGTTCTCTATATATTGATTGATCAAAACAGTGAATAAATGTATGAACAATCACATTCTGTTTCATTGTTCAGTCCTGTAACAAAAAAGAGATTTGTGCTGTCCCAGTACTTGGGTGGAATTGAGAAGAACTCATCAGGTTCCATTATAAAGGCGGAAGCAACATCAATGTCCTATGGGGTAAAATATACCCCTGAACTCAATGAAAACTCAGGAGCTTTGGTATGTTTTGACTTCATGTATATACACTGTAGTGAACCTGTTGCTATATTTCTACTCTGACAGGAAGTGTTTTGCAGGGATTTTAATGAAAGCTGGTTTACCGGTGGACTACCCCTACCCATAAGAGCTGCTTTCAGTATCTGTTTAACCTCCAAACAGTCTCTTGTGTTTGGTTTTTTTTTTTATTAACTCTTTAACTCTTAAGAGCTGATTGTTAATTCCCCTGACATATAAGTCCAGCTCTGGGCCAAGAGAATGGTTCAGGAACAGTTGTTCCTATAGGCTATAGTGCCTCATTGTTCAATGTTTTGTAGGGATGAAGAGAATTCTGCAAAGTGCATCATTCTGTAATTCAGCACACAATTCTCATCTTTCAGCCCTGAACAAAAATAATGATTATTTTAATAGGAGGATAAAAAGACATTTGAATGGGAGGAGAAATTTGGCGAATTAATGGAGGGCCTGGAACCATCATCTGCCGAGTTGTTTTACTATACTCGTCGCAGGTAAGTTTTGTGCCAAATAAGTAGAGGATAATTACACAGTGGCAGGAAGATGGGAATTTTATGTTCAAGTGGCAAGATCAATATTTCACCAGTGACTGCAGCAAATGAATGAGGTATTGTTCTTGCCAAAAGAACATAATATTCATATCTTTGAGCTATCATGTCATATTATTTTTGTTATATGGACAATGATTTGAAACAATGGATAAACAAAAATCATTCTGCATAGTTTGAAAAGGCAGGAATCGTGACGTTGTTGCTCAATATAAGCACTCGTGTTACACATGAAACACACTGCACACAGGTCCTGGATGTACTGGTTGTATCATTTGATTTTATATGTGTTTTCAGCTCTTCGCCAATCACTTGTGTCCATTCATTTTATTACACGACTTGGGCAGTCAGAGGGCCATTAACTAAAATCAACCAATCAAAATGCTCAATTGCCAGTCAATATTCTCTCAGTACTGGACTGGGCACTGTCCCGAATGGTCCCAAATGATACCGCACTTGTGTCCCTTTGAACTTCAGTCGTATAATAAATCTCTCATTAACCAAGCTTGCTCGGGACTATACTGGAAGAATATCGGCTATCGGTCTTTTTTGTATGGACCGAGTGCAGCGAGGTCCATACAGTCAAGACCTCGGGCCTATATTCTCCCAGTACGGCCCTCGCGCTTGGTTAATAAGATATATTTATGCTTCAGTTTGATTTTTTCTTATTCTTTGGGCAAAATTAGTGGAACACTACCAGCAAAAAAAAACTGCTACCAAAATAAAGAATTGTTTTCTATCCAATGATACCTTAATCGCTTGTTGAATTTATCATCAGATATACAACAGATTCAGGTGACAGCATTCAAGGGGATGTTCAACTTCTCTCCGTTGGATACATTCTTATCATTATTTATGTGGCAGTTATGCTTGGAAGATTTACCCGTCTCAATATCAAGGTACTGTGATACAGTCATTGTAAGTTATTGTTGGTTTATAGCCATTGCAGAGTAAATTGTTGTGTGGACTTTGAGTGGGCATGTATTTTCTGGAATAGAGGTATTTCCAGTGGACTATTGGACAAAGTTAGTCTGGTTTAACTTTGCTAAGTTGATAAATGTAAATTGGCCACTGGGTTTCTTCCACTGATGTTTCAATTGTTAACACTTTGTCAGAGCAAAAATAGACATCCACTTTAGAAACTCCTTGTGGTCGTCAATTTACATTATCAACTTAGATAACTAAAACAAAACTTATAACACACATGCCCACACACACACGCGCACATACACACACATACACACACATACACACACACACACACACATATACACGCACACACATACACACACGTGCACACACACACACACGCGCACACACACGTGTACACACACACACAGACACACACACAGACACACACACATACACACACACACACACAGACACACACATACACGCGCACACACACACACGCACGCACACACACACGCACGCACGCACACACACCAACATAGTACCATGATCTCTTTAGAAACCTGTCCCCTTTTTCAATACTAGATTTTGCAATTGGCTTGAAAAACATCCATCTCTTTCCCAACTAATCAAGATCATAGAAAACCAAAGCTAAATCTAAGTTTATCTGAGGTTTACTCACTCCTCAAGAAGTTGGCTTACATTTATTTTCTTTATTCTCTTACTGGCTCCATATAAATAATTTGTTACACTTTACCTTTGGTTTTTCTGATCAGCGTGGTTTAATTTTACAATTACTGATTAAGTAAATTCTTGCCTGTTACAGGCTTGGCTGGCCTTACTTGGCGTTGTTTGCATTGGACTAGCCATTGGTGTGTCATTTGGGCTGGCCAGTGCTTTTGGAGTTTTCTATGGTCCTGTTCACTCAACGCTGCCATTTCTTTTACTTGGTAAGATTTAATGCATTGTCATTTTGTGACAATGAAGCCATGTAGCTGTTGAACTGTTGTGTCACTGTACATTTTCTGATAATCAGACTTGCATGTACATTGTTCCTATGCTGTAGGTATTGGAGTAGATGATATGTTTGTCATTGTACAAGCATGGAACAACTTATCCCCTGACACTCATAAGAACCAAGAAGTTGCAGAGCGAGTTGGACTTGCCTTAAAACATGCTGTGAGTTCTATACATCAACTATATAATTAGTAAGATGCTGAATTACAATGTATGGGCTTGATTGGAAAAGAAAGAAATATCAAGGTAGTTGACACTAACTTTTCAACTTACTGGCCAAGTGGCTAGTGATGATTCTTAGATGTTACGACTTACAATTTCAGTTTGTTTACTTGCCAAACTGGCTAGAAAAAATTGAAAACCACTAAGCCAAAACTGAATTTCTTCTAGTCTGTGGCTGGCTAGTAAATGTTGAGCCCTGAATATGTTTCTCATTTTGTGGCAAGGGTGGGAAAACAAAAAAAAATATGAGATCCCTAATTAATGAGTCCCACCCCAGACCTCTGGATTTCACACTATGATAGTTTACCACTGAGTTACAGAAAAGAGATATTAGCAGGGGTTTCAGTCAAAGCTAGTTACTGCTGGCCTACTGCCACCTTTGAGATCTTTAACACCTTTAACAGTGGTCTCTTGCACCTGCAAGCAGACTCACATGTTTAAGTTTTGCCTTATGGCTCCTTGTTTTCTGGCACAGTGTCCAATTACAGTAAACCATCAGCAGCTGCTAGTGGATAAAGTTATTGAAACCCCTGATGATGGGTTATGCCTTCACTAAGTTTACATGTGGTTAGGGTCCTGTATATAGCTACATATGTAGGATCAGTGTGCAGAAAACATTCTTACCTAAGACTAATGAAATTTTACATTTGTTTTAGGTAAATTAGTAAAGAATTCGATCCCACCAACACATTGGCCAATGTGTTAGTGAACACACTACCTACACACTACTGACACATTGGTAAGATCAACCAGCGCATTGGCCAATGCATTGGTTGATGCGGCCACTGTTGGTGGAATCAAATTCTTTACTTTTACCCATTTTTTAGTGTAGAATGTATTATATAATATGATAATACAGTACTACTGGTATTTGCATCCTGTGGATCTTGGCTAAGATTTCCCATTTATTTCATTCCAGGGTTGCTCAATAACAATAACATCTTTGACTGATTTCTTGGCTTTCATGATAGGAGCAACCACTGTGAGTTGTTTGTTGTTTAATATGTTCTGTGTATATCATAAAATAAACATTACCATTCTCAAGTTTAATGGTCATGGACTAGGATTTTTTGACCGATTCACTCCCAAGATCCAATTAGTGATTCTTCTTACCACCTGAAATACAATTCTTCATTAAGATGTTAATTCACAGCATTTGGTATTGGATCAACTACGTGTAATAATCCCCTGATTGATATTTTTCTTTATTCTCATCACTTGTCTGCTGGATATTGTGTTGATATTGTAAGGAGAAATTCTGTCTTGGTCACTCATGGGAGCAAGAGAGCTGATGATTTTGATGATCTTTCCTTCAGATTTTACCAGCTTTGCGGTCATTCTGTATTTTTGCAGGAATCGGTATGTGGAATGCCTTTTTTGCTTTATTTTGTTTTGTTTTTCTGTCTTGTTTTCTTTTTTTGCTTTGTTTTGTTTTTGTTTTTGTATGCTTTTGCTTTTGTTTTTCTTTTAACATGACTCAAAAATAAGATTATCCTTCATTGTAAATGTTTCCTATTGCAGGTATTTTAGCAGACTTTGCGCTTCAGGCCACACTGTTTACCGCCTTTTTAGCTCTGGACGCCAAAAGGTAAACTTGCCTTTTTGTTCACAACAACAACAACAACAACGACAACAACAACAACAACAACAACAACAACAACAGCTTTATTACCAAAAATAAAAGTTAAACTTAATTCAGAACGTAATCTAGTAATACAGGAGAGGTAACATTTACTCAGAATAACTAAAGAGCTAATTGAGCTGAGAATGGCCATATTGTTAAAGTTACAAGGTGCTTTGGTTGCAGTTTGCGTGGAAACTGGAACACAGGGGGAAATTCCATGTGTTTTGTTATGAATTAGGTTACCTTCACAAATACAGCTTTTGCGTGAATAATGAAGCGAAAATTGTCGAGAGGGGCGAACTTTCTCTTGAAATTTAGGGACTCACTAACGTTTTCAGTAAATTATTTCGCGAAAGTCAGGACGGATCTGAACAATAGGTGCCACGAAAATCTGAAATTTCGTTTCTTGCAAAATTTCTTCGAAAAGCCGGGCAGAAAAAAGAAGAGCTTCGAAACGTGTTTGCATTACTTTTGTACAACACGGTATGTTCAAATATTTGGCTATTTTTGTCACTTTCAAAATATTACTTTGTGAGCTCAAATTGCAATTTGGTGTTCTAACAGTTTTGCTAAATTGTGTACAGGCAAACTAAGAATCGAGATGGCTGCTGCTGTTGTATCAAGCTGAGGGAAGATTACACGGAAAGCGATCGAGGCAAGAGAGATCTTTTACAGGAATTTATGGACAAATATGTGGCACGGGCCATACTGTCGCTTCCAGGAAAGGTAAAACTTACATAAGAATTAAGGACATTTGTCTTGGATTGAGGCTCGATGAAATTAACTTTGTCTTTAAAATACATTTAAAAAGTGTCCTTTTTTGATGAGATTCTATCAAAACACACTTCACTATTTTAAAAATATCAAGCATTCCGGATTCTGTCTAATTAGAACTTGAATCGTGGATCGCATTGTCAATCTTTAGTCGGCCTAATCGTCGGTGTTTTGATCTGTAAAGAAACGAAGGGAATATTTCTTGAAAGATACTGTGTTGCTGCTTCGATTGGGGGGGGGGGAGGGGGGAAGGGGGTATCTACATTAACAACTCATTCATTCGTTCATTCATTCATTCTTTATTCACACTTATTCTACTAAAAATACAACAACAACGAGAAAGAGAAAAAGTAGAAAAAAGAAGAAGAAGAGAGTTCTAACTATACATGAATTTACACAAAGCAGTGGAAAGAGTGTGTAGTAGCCAAAGGAGCCAAGCTTTCGGGTTGGCCACTACGGATGGGTGAAAGTTAAATACACTTAAGGAGATAGCACATATACTAAATAGTTAAAATAGCAAAATAGAGCTCTATGATAGGTTAAAGTTGTTCAAGATGTCTGCCTACCAAGTAGGAAGAGTTTAACTCAACTACGGTGGGGCCAATTTACACTATTACCTCAATTCTGAACATACTTTAATTTCAAAGAATTGATTTTGGTTTGTTCATAGTAATAACTTTCTGCATTCTACTTTTACTGTCTTGCAGATCATTGTGATAGTTATTACAGGGGTCCTGTTTGGTGTCAATTTGTACGGTACAATGATGCTGAGGCAGTACTTTGACCGTGTCTGGTTTTTACCAGTCGAGTCCGTGAGTTACAAGTACAGCACAATGAACTCTAAGGTACAGTTATTGAGTCTGTTTGTCAAAATGCCATTGCATAGTCTGCGCATGCGAACTGGCCCTCATGTTAACATTGCCAGATGTACGTTTTTCCATCCCCGCGGAGATTTGGAACGAGTCGGGGAGAAGTTTGCTGGAGGTCTGGCCCTAATAATCATAAGTAATAGACCTCTCACGGGCTCGTGTTGTTCAAGGTCTCATACTTTCGAATTCCCTAGAGTAAAGGAACGCTCGTGACGAAGCGTGTTATAAATGAGGATCTGGTCAGAGGCTAGCCATTGCTTTTACGTTTGATGTGATTAGAAAACAACAGGGCATGTGGCGGCATGTTACCAAACCAAATTGTGGTATTGAGTTACAGGAGAACGGATCTGATTTGAAACTTCAAAGCACAAGTTTATAAAAATTAGCCTGGTAGAAAAACCTTAATTGTGAAGAGGGCTTTTGTCGTAGTTAAAGTATCGTACCGTCTTTACTCGAATGAGCGCCGCCCCCGAAGAAGAAGGCCCCAGTGGGACCGAAATTGAGTGAAGAAGAAAATGGAAATGCAATTGAAAAGTGCCGCAAGAGACAAATGGTGACATGACAAAAACGCCTCCGTTAGCTCCAATGAAAATTTTCGGACAGATAGAATCTATACTATTAGATTTAAAGAGGACATTTTCTTCCTCGCGTCCAGTTTTTCAACGAGCGATGCCCTCTAACAAGCGCCCCCTGCCACTAAGCGCCGCACTTGAGGTACAAAACATTGATTATTTTTCTACTGTATACAGTGTGTGCTATAATCCTGTTGTTTTATTGCAGTATTTCCCAGTCGAGGGGAGACCGGCAAATATCTACACAGGTTCGTGAGCTACCAAATGTACTTTTCCAGTTCATTTTTTATTATTCGTAGGTGCGTGTAGCGACCTTGCAGTTTGCGTGTTTGGCGTGTGTTCTGCGTGGGAATTACACGCGCGTTAAGCCTGTTTAATGCGCGGCAGTACATGTACACGGAAGCATTACTGCACTTTTCAAAGAAAAATTATGGGATATATCCAATTATCTTCTGTGGTCTTATTTAGACATAATAGATTGCTTCTCGAGCGAGCTTATTGGCAAGCTTGAAAGTTTTTTTCACCTTCAAGTAGCCAAAGAGAAAGAACCCAGACTTCCAATTATCAAGGAGAAATTATTTAGATCAACAGAGAGGTTTAACAAAAAATACAACAATTTGGAACGAAGTTTGGTTAGACAGTATTTATTGGCAAGATATTTGATACTTTTCCAACTTATAACATTTTTTAAAACAAACACTCGTAGAATCGTTAGGTTACACAAATTCGAATAAATAGTGCTCTTTCGTCTAGAGAAATAAAGCGTATCTTGGCACGAACTTTCGCCAGAACTTTCGAGGAAACTTGGCGTTTCGCATTTCGTTGGCATCACTTTTGCACAATACTGTATCATAAATTGTAGAGTAGCAGATAGTTAAACATTCAACATTCAACGTGTTTCATCGACGAAAATGTTTGGTGTCCTTCGTTTTTGGTCTGCAGGAAAGTTTGATTATTTTGATAATCAAGCCAAACTACACGGCCTTTATGATGTGGCAGTCAGTGACGAGTATGTGGTGGCCAGCTCAGTGAACAGTTGGTATGAGGACTATATTAACTGGGCCAAGAAAGAAAAACCCGGGCAAAATTTCGATCAGTCCAGCTCTAAATGTGAGTTGTAGAAAAATTGTATCATGTATTCCATGGTAGTCTTAATCGATATATCGGCGTAGGGTCGATGGACACTCGACCCATAGATCGCCTATAGTTGGCTCATTATCGGTTGATTATCGGTCGACGATCGGCCTACTGTCGGGTGGCTATCGGTCGACTTGCATCAGGTTGGTGTTAATGAACTAGGGTTTAATTAATGTTATAGTGTTAATGAATCAGGGTTTAAATAATAGGAACCATCACTAGGTGTAAGATGCAGGACGTGAGAGGTCCCAGAAAGTAAACATATATAGCTAAGTTGCATGCATATTGAGTGTGTGGTATATTGTGTAACTGTAGTTAGGTAGTGATCATTAAAGTTCGGTCGGCCGTTTTAACCAAGGATTGGCGTCACTTTTCTGCATTAAGACACAACAGTTGGTTGGTTCTCTGTGAATTTTCCGTTCCTTCTGATTGTCCTACAATCGACCGACACTCAACACACAGTCCGACTCTATCGGTCGAGTATCGGTCGATGATCGACCGACTTTCGGGTGGCTGTCGGTCGACTTACTTTAGGTTAGTTGGTTCTCTGTGATTTTTCCGTTCCTTCCGATTGGCCTTCGTCTTTTCTTTGGTTTTTCGACAATCAAGAGAAAGTCACTCAACTTACAGCGCCACTAGAAAATTACTCTTTTCATACGCCGAATGCAATTATGGTGTCCAATTTGAATTGCTATTGTCCTGGACTCACTAGCCTCGTCCTCACGTGGAAACTCAAAAGGAGTAGCACATGCGTGAGAGGCTAATGAGTCCAGAACAAGGGCAATTGAAATTGGACGCCATATTTACATTTGGTGTATAAAGCTAACAGCATGTACTCAAAACACGCATTAAAACACACGTGCTGTATCAAACTGCTAAGCATTACCTGTACTGCTTGCACTTTTGATAAAACTCACTCAACTTGATTAAACGAATTGACCACTTTCATAAATGGCTGCCGGATTAATATTCTTTTGTTTAAATTTAAATTAGCCTTTCTGGCCTCGTTTTCCAGTACAAAATTCAAAAGAATACATCATCTCAGGCGAGGCCAGAAAGGCTAATTTAAATTAAAACAAAAGAATTTTAATTCGGCAGCCATTTTTGAAAGTGGTAAATTAAATGGCATTTTAGAACAATATTTTGACTTAACATATCCGTGAATACATTATTAGCAGCATTGTTTGAAATAAGTTTTTATCCATTGTAGGGAAAATAAATAGCAAAACAGACTTCTACGGATGGCTGAATGAATTCCTACAGGGACCTGGAATCAGTTATCGTAATGATGTGCGAATGAAAAATGGAACGGGCCCACTCTTTGAAATTACTGTAAGGTTCCTGTTTAAGCTAACGTAGAAGCCGAAGTCCCCTCCTTCATTCTTAAAGTTATCTCTCTCAAATTATTGGTAGATCACTGCCGTTATCGTAGATCAGAGGATGTATGTTGATATCCACAATCCTGTGCCATAGGTTTTGAAATTACAGTAAGAAATGTTTCTCCTCTGAAAGCTTCTTTCGGAAACGAAGTCCCCTTTATTCTCATAGTCATATCTCAAAGTATTTGTAGATCACTCCCGTTATCGTAGATCTCAAGACGTATCTTGATATCAACAATCCTGTGCCATGGGTTTTGCTCGCATGGACATCCTGTTGCCCTATTTGCGGGTGGTAGTCTGCGTTTTTAAGCGCGAGATTCAGAGCGGCGACTATTCGGTCGCCATAGAGGACGGGTGGAAGATCTGGGACGAGTGACAAAGCAAGGGGGAGGGGAAGGGGGAGAAAAACCATTCAAAACAGAACATTCAATCGACATGCGAGTCATATGTGATAGTTTGGATTATCAATTAGTAACCCCTCTCTGACAGGCTACGCGAATGGGATTGACACACAAAGACATGGACTCCACTCAAACAGAAGTCAAAGCTATGGAAGACTTGCGTAAAAAAGTCGAAGAAGTGTTCCCCGAGGAGCTGGCCTTCCCATATTCGTTCGTTTATCTAGGATGGGAGACAAATAAGGTAAGAGGCTGGCCTCAGTTAATTGCGTTGTGGTTTATAGCTCGTAACTTGCTTAAACTTCAGACATAATTGTCGTTCGTAAGCTTCTACCCTGAGCCAACAAGCTCATTGAAAATACGAGAAAGAATAGTAACAGAAGATTTTCATAGTATATTTGATGCATGCTACATTAAGGAGAGGTTTTTGTGCAGCCCATCTCGTCACTTTATGCTCGTAAATTCAGTCAGCTTATTTTCACTCTGTCGTTACAGGTGATCTCCGAGGAACTGTTCCGTAATATGGGTCTGGCCCTCATGACAGTCTTTTTAGTTACTCTGCTTGTCCTCGCAAACTTGGGGACTTGTCTCCTTGTTTTCACTTGTGTCGGCTTCACTTTGGTACGTATCACTCGGAATTCTTTTGCGCACGCGTGAATTTGATGGAGGGAAATGGTTACCCTCGTAGTTCCCGAGTCCCTTTGTTCATCCTGCCCGCGAGAGCGAGGGTGAAAGAGATATGGAATTTATATGTTCTGGCTCCCACCAAGAATACCCCCTACCCCCCTTTCCCCACTTACATCTGTTTTTGTTTCATTGTTCAAATGAACCCATAGCTGTTCATTATTGGCCCTCAGGTGAACATTACAGGCACGATGCATTTCTGGGGCCTGACAATCGATACCGTGAGCACCATCTGCCTGGTGCTCGCGGTTGGGCTGTCTGTGGATTACGCTTCTCACGTTGGACACACTTTCATGATAATACCAGGCTCGCGAACTGGTAAGTTCTCAAATTTGTCATTTTAAATCCGAGTAAATCTTTTCTACCTAAGCCACCCTCACTCCTTCGTGGTTTATCATTGTCTCTTCTGTGTTTTTCTGTTATACCAAACTAAAATTTTGTAGTCATTTTCAATCCTTGTTAATCTTCTCCATCTTAAGCCATCCTTGCTCCTTATTGGTTCCGTTATGATTGACACATTTCTAGCATGTTTTCATTCTACGCATGCCAGAGGAAATCAGAGCTAGGGTGATAAACTGCAAATACACCTCGAACGATTAATTTTCGGTAAAAACCCTGCCAAAGTTTTCTTTTTTTTTTTTTTTTTTTCAGTCTTTAGGGTTCCAAATACTAGAAGCTTATTCTAGTTGAGTTTTTTTTTCATACTTTGGTTTGTTTACTTGTTAGAACGAGCCCGCGCTACCTTGAGAGATATTGGTCCAGCAGTATGGAATGGAGGTTTTAGTACATTTTTAGCTGTTTTTCTTTTGGCGTTTTCCAATTCGTACGTGTTTAAGACATTCTTCAAGGTAAGTAATTACAATCAAGGTTTATCGTGATAAAGGTTAGCAAATGTAAGATGCAATGGGAATAATCACTGTAATGTGCGTGATTAATTTTTTTTTTCTCGAAAACTTGTCGTAAAAGCCTGTTGCATTGCATGCGAGTGTATGAATGAGTGTTAAGACAAAATTGAGTCTTTGTCTTTGTGACACTCACAATGGCTAATTATTAGAAAATGAGAGGTTTTGAGGGAACCCCCACCACCTCCTCTGATCATCGCTGTGCCATCGACTCATCTCAGTCGATGTGTTAAGCGTTCATATCGTATGTAGAGTTATGTTCCTTTGACTGGCATAGTAATCTGAGCCTGCTCTGGTATTACTTGATTTACCTCAGTGATACATGAGTGGTTACTTTCTAAACCAATCAGACGAAGAGATCAAACCAATGAGGACTTGTTGTACGCCTTCACCCGCACTCAGCTTTAGTCCGTTTTCTTGCTTTTATCTTGAGTTCTCATCGGCTCTTGCGATATTTCCCTTTCTCTGATTGAATATTTGATTACTTTGTCCCTAAGACCCTCATTCGAAAAGTGCTCTTGGTACCCATTATTGGAATTGTTTTCATTCCATACATGTACAGGGTTCAATGTTTGTTTTTTTGGTTTCTATTAGGTGTTCTTCTGTGTAGTCTTGTATGGTTTGTTTCACGGCTTGTGCTACCTTCCCGTGCTGCTCAGCGCCATCGGACCAGCTCCGTACCAATCTGCGCAGTCGCATCATGATAGCAAGGGAACTCGGAGCCGGTCACCGGTCTACCCCGCGGGGCTACCGGGGGATAACGTCAGTTATGAACTGGCCGTGGCTAATGGCAAGAACACCCCACGGAAGAGTGCTAAAAATGGCGGATATAACGTCCCACCTCCGGACTATGAAGGTGATGGTTTTAACAACTATCTCTGCAAGTTTTTTCCTTCCACTAGCTTTTCAACAGCAATTTTATAAAGAACGACCCCTATTTTATTTTACCGTCAGATATCATAAAAATCTCTCCAGTGTAAAGTAATTTGGAGTGTTCTCAATTTCACCCGACGGGATATTGCTTTTTTGCGGGAACTCAATTTCACCAACCTCCTCCCCCCCTCCCCTTCTTATCCCTCCCCCCTCCCTTCCTCGCTAGACTTGTCATCCTTTCGTGATAGTTTCCTTTACTCAGGTACACTCCGAAAAAACCTTTGTTAACTCCCGAGAGTGCCCGCTTGTAATTTCCCCTGGCAGTGTCAGCCCCGAATCCAATATCAAGGTCGTGAGAATATAGGAAATGATCGCCAACTAAAAAAGCTCTCGCTTGTTTAACATATTCTCCTTGTCAGCATCTTAGGAAATATACAGAGAACAGTATCGACAATGTATATACTGATATAAGGGTATGAAAAGGTACCCGTGCGTTGAAAGGATGAACTGGGTTTGTGGTTGCCCTTACTGTGCCCCTCTCGTCCCCCCCCCCCCCTTAATTTCACTTTACTTTTATCTAACGTTGTCTTTCTTGTGTATGTTAGGTGTTGATGTGTCGAACTTGGCCAATGGTTCCAAAGATAATCAAGCATTCAAATCCAGTGTCGCTACAGATTTAGATAAGGCTTAGCCGGAACTAAAATTGGGTAGCGTGTTTAAATTTTTTTACTTTCATTTTTCTGCCCTTTTTTATCTTTTTTTTATAAAAGGACTTATTTGAGACATATATTTGATTTCTGGTATTCACTCAATCGCTTATAGTACTCAGCTGTGGTTATATAGCCTGAGAAATTCTTATTAGTGGCACCTGGGGTTGAAGGACAGTCCTGAGGGAAAAGATATTGTGTGAAAGATACATCCGCGGTTATTGGGTTGTGGCTAGTAAACTATTCAAAGAATTGCCGATAATTTTGTACATAGCTTGGTAAGGTTTTGGTACCATATTTAAATGGATATTTACAAACAAATAGTTGGTTTTTAAACACTTTATTTAAAAGAATAGTGTCCACATTACCCTTTGCGTATATTGTGTAGTCTTTAGTGTGCAAACCTTGTCAAACAAGTAAATTAGCTTCAACGAACAACTTAAGACGTATGATATTGGAGTGAATCGCACCTCTTGTCATATTTGGGAGCAAAAGCAAAGGCGTTTTGGAGACGCGTGTGGCAACCGCGAGAGCAGAGTTTTCCTTTCTTTGGGACTTTGTAAAAGGTTGCGTTTCGCGTCTCGTAGTTGTCTTTGCCCAAGTTCCCCATGCTGTAGAGAGTTACTTTGTAGTATGACTGCATAATGGTAAATACACTTAAGCAATCCAGGGCTCGACAACTTTTCGACTTACTAGCCAAGTGGCTAGTGACATGTTAGATGTTACGACAATTTCAGTTTGTTTAGTAACCAAAACTGAATTTCTACTAGTCTGGCTAGTGGTCTGGCTAGTGGGCTACCGTTAGTGACGAGCCCTGGCACTTTAGGACTTCACGTGTAGACTTGACATAATTTAGGATCAAATCAGAAGAATTGAATTTCAAGGGGTCGACGCAAGGGAGCACATGATTCAAAGATTCAGTACTGCAAATTTGTAATCGATGCAAATCGCACTGTAAAAGGAATAACAGCGTGAAAAAGGTTCATGTTACACGTGGTAGAGGTTTTTTTTTCAGGCTATAGTGCCCTATTGTTACGGCTCCTATGAACTGAACATGACAGTTTACTTAGTTCCTTTTTTCCGTCGTGAGTTAGGCGGACTCCCTACATCCCTGGTGTGTAACATTTCTTCAAAACTCTCTTTAAATCGTTTCCAAGCCCTCTCACCTTTGCCTTTTTGTCGTTGAGAAGAGAGACAAGGCAGGAAAGGGGAAGAGAGAGCCTGGGAACATTTCTATTGGGTTATTCTTGTCTCTTTAGTGTTTTTCTGTCTTATTGAACTAATATTTTGTAATCATTTACAATCCATGTCATTCTTTTATATCCACCACCACCCTCCTTCGTTCTTTGTTTACATGTATCTCTTGGGTGTTTGGCCTTTCTTCTTACCAAATATTACATGCTAAAAAAAAATACGTTCTGTAGCGTAGCTCCTCAAAGAAATTATGCAAAGGTTTATATTTCTATGCACTATCTTACAATGCACCCGGTCAATTAGCCAACCTAGTAATATACACCCTTTCAAGTTGTTGTTAGCCATTTTGTTTGGTGAAGCATCTTATGTCCATATTTGTGACAGAATTTACTTGAATAAAATACAGCACAAAGTATGATGGTTTCCCCGTCTTTAATTACCTGCAGCTCTAGTATGCGTGAGGTGTCAGATTGCGAACGATCATGGATAGCTAGATGTGAGAATTACTGAATTTAGTATCACATTCTAAAGACGCCAAAATTGCTGCGTTGTCCGCGAGGGAATGAGGAGAGCGCCGCGCGTAAACTCTGACCCAGGACCTAGGGAAAAATTACAAAACGTGAGTCGAGGAGGTAGCAAGAGACTGAATACAAGGGGATTTGTGAAGTGTTACCTACCTTTCTTGTGTCTTGAGGTAGAATAACACCATCATCCCACAGACGAGCACTTCCGTAGTAACCTTGTGATTCCTTCTCAAACCTAATTCAAAGAAACAAGTGTAGAAGTTGAGCTCGATGAGGTCTTTCCGGGAGATTGCTTTGCGCATGCTTAGTTCACGTTGTTTCAGAGCATGCAGTGAAGCCTGTTTATTTTTACCTTCACGTAAGACAAATGTCCTCCATCCTAAACGATAAAGAACTGATAGGAAAAATGTAACAAAATCCTTCTTGCTGATTGCTCTAACGACTGAGTTCGGAGGGTGCTTGCTAAAGCGTGGTGCCCAGGCCCTTTTTCCGTGTTGTCATCCGCCATCTTAAGTCGTTATGCGGATTACCGCTGTACTATCAGTCCAAGACTCCCGTTCCCTTTACAAGTTTAAATAAAGTCCTGTCGGAAACTCTTCGCTCCGTGTGAAAAGGACTCTTATCTAGCAAAAATCTGTCTCTGCGACAGAATTTGGTCCCCGCAAGTGACTCAAATTGCCATTGGTTTCAATTTGTGCGATCGGGCAGCGATAAGAGAAGTTGCAGCGACTCGTCATCAGCTTTTTGGGTCCAGCGATCTCAAGGGTATGAAATTTACGCCACCTTCACTTGAAACTCTAGCGTGCCTTAGTGGTGCGTATCTTTGCTTTCGTTGAGAGTTTTTGAGCTTCCAAGTGTCATGGTTGAAAAGCCAAATTACTGTTCTTACTTCTTGCTGAGCTTCTCCTTCAATGCCACGAGTTTCTCTTCGTCCAAACTGTCGTCGTCTGTATCATGCTACAGGAAGAGAAAAAAAAAAATCACGTTTAAAGGTAAGATGAAGAGAGGGAAGCAACGAAAATTACAAGAACTAGAGATTAGGGGTCATGTTATCGACACAGAATTTACCCGTTGCCTTTCAGTCCATTATGAATAACTGCCAAAATATTATTTCTTGATATTTGCTTTTAATGCTTGGTTATTTAAAGATTAAAAAACATGTTCGAGATGGGATGTAATCTTTGCCTTTTGCTGTTACCATGGTTCTACAACCTCGTTTCTAGGTCTCTCAGTCCCCTCCCCCCTCGCCCCCGCCCACTCTCTCTCTCTCTCTCCTTTCCATCCCATCCAAAGTTGGAGCAAAAGCGCCATGGGGATGAAGTTGCTGAACAAAAGTAAATATTAAAAATTATTTCAATTTAGTAGG